AGAGAGAAGTGAGAAGGGGACGATGGGAAGAGCTTGGGGGAATGGGATAGTTGGGATGGAGGAAGGGTGGATATGGGAGCAGGGAAGTATATATCTTAATTAAGGGAGCTATTTTAGGGTTATCAAGAGACTTGGTATCCAAGGAGATGTCCCCAGCTTGTTCCTTGGGCTGCTGAGGAGAGGGCGCCTGAATTGGCCCTATCCTATAGCCACACTGATGAATATCTTGCATATTACCATAGAACCTTCACCTGGCGATGAATGGAGATAGAGACAGAGACCTACATTGGAGCACTGGACTGAGCTCTCAAGGTCCAAAGGAGAAGCAGAAGGAGGGAGAACATGAGCAAGTAAGTCAGGACGAGAGGGGTGCGCCCACCCACTGAGACAGCAGGACTGATCTAATGGGAGTTCACCAAGGCCAGCTGGACTGGGACTGATGGAGCATGTGATCAAACTGGACTCTCTGACCGTGGCTGACAATGACGGCTGACTGGAAAGCCAAGGACAGTGGCACTGGGTTTTGATTCTACTGTAGGTACTGGCTTTGTGGGAGCCTAGTCTGTTTGGAAGCTCACCTTCCTAGACCTGGATGGAGGGGGGAGGACCTTGGACTTCCCACAGGGCAGGGAACCCTGACTGCTCTTTGGACTGGAGAGGAAGGGGGAGGGAGTGGGGGAGGGAGAGGGAAATGGGAGGAGGTGGAAATTTTTAATAAAAAATAAAAAATTTGCTTAAAAAATCTGTTCTTTTGAAGATTCTTTGCCATGTATTATTCTTTTCTTATTGATTAGTTTTTCACTAATTAGTGACAATGAAAGAGAAAAAAATGATCTTCTTAGCTGTATTTAATAAACCCTGGTTATATTGAGAACTACAGTTACATTTTAGAAAGACAAACCAGTATTAATCATAATAAAATAGAACAAAAACACTATATGTGCTTTTTAGAGCTGTATGTTCTTGAACCAAAAATTTCATTTAAAAAATCAACTTTGTTTTCTTCTTTAAAGGAACTAAGTAGCTATACTGGAGTAATATTTTAAAGTGGAAGTAAGTAGGAATATAAAAAAGTTCAACAATAACAATTAGAATGTTTGGATTTTTTAAAAATTGGAAGTTTAAAAATTACCACTTTCCTTTTCTAAGTGTGGTCTTCATAAGTACAAGTAACAAAGCTTAATAAAAATTAAAAAACTCACGGCAAAAATAATTTGGACATCAAACTTAAAAAAAAAGTTCCGGGTTTTTGAAAGGATTCTATTAAAAGCAGAAAACTCAGGAAACAGACTGCACTATCATACAATTTCTGGATTAAAACTTCGGGATATTCATTAAATGTTCTAGAATTAAAAATGTCTAAGATTAATCTTAAAATTAGCTCACAATAGTTCATACACATACCCCTACAAATAACTAACATTTTTTAAATCATTATTACTGTATTTAACCCCTAGACACTATTGAAGATATTACAGCATTAAATCTAAGTAGTTAATTGAGTTACTGATGTAGTAAAAGCCAATAAATATGATATCCATAAAAAGCAGAGCCATGTCAAGTTAATAGTTATCTTAATGATTACAAGAACAATTAAAAAGGTGAATAGTAAAAAGCAACACATAACACTAATGGATGGCATATTCCGGCATATTGTTCAAGGGAAGATCTTGGAAATAAATCTTAACAGTATAAAAAGTTCACTCAATACTTTTAAATTATAATCCACTGATAAAGGATATTTTAATGAAAATACCTTTCCCTATTTTTGTTAACTCATTTTCTCTATGTAAACATAGAAATGAATTATTCTGATGAGTAGGAATTAAGAGACATTTACTATATTCTATTGTCATTTTTATGTTCTACTAGCTCATATATATGCGTGTGTACATATATATGTAAACAAAACACCTGAATATTGTAATTTTTGTTCACAATGCATGACAGTGTCATGCAAAAAAAAATCTATAATGGTTCCTGAATCTATTAAGATTTTTCTAGCAAATTATCCTCACAATAAATTTTTAAAAGTAATATAATAAAATAAAAGTATTTTTCTTTCCCAGAGCCAGGCAGCTGTTCGATTTAAGTGATTTCACACAAATGCCTCAAATTACACAGCATGTTTTTCCAGTAAACAATAACGAAGACAATCCATCTTGAATGTGCATGACTGGTGCCTCAGACACCTTGATACGGCCAGGGTTGCACAAATAGCAGCACTCTTGTCTGCAGCTTGTTTTAAAATAAAAGAGACTGAAATTTGCTATAGATGATAAGTGACAATTTATTTAAAAACAGCTTGTATCTAGTGCCAGGAGGTGGTGGCGCACACCTTTAATCCCAGCACTCTGGAGGTAGAGCGTGGTGGATGTCTGTGAGTTCAAGGCCAGCCTGGTCTACAAGAACTAGTTCCAGGACAGGCTCTAAACCAACACAGAAAAACCCTGTCTCGACAAACCAAAATCAAACCAAACCAAAACAAAATAAAAACTCAGCTTTTATCTAATATTGCTTGCATTGGGAACTATAATTCGAAACTAAAAACATTGACTATTTTTTTAATCAAATTTGATTTTAGCAAGAAGCATATTCCTGAAATAAAAACATCTAATATCTTGTATTCAAAACACCTAAACCTTCGAACTTTTTGTGAAAGTTATCTCTGTTAACAGTCCACTAGAGTTATAGAAATATCATTTCATTTGAAAAACAGTAAATGTAATACTGTATTATCCTACAACTAGTCATAATAAATTACTGAAGATTATGGCCTCAAGTATAATTTTCTAGTTACAAATAATTTAAATTATTTGTCTTCACGGAAATTTTTCTTAGAAGTTATTCTCAGTATACTGAGTTGAATATCAACTCTAGAGAATTACACTCTAGGAAAAGTAGCAGGGAATTAAACTGTATGTGGCTCCTTCTAGTGTCTCCTCCAAATTCTAAAGGAACAATCTGAAACAAGACACTCTGTGACATTTGGTATTAAAAGAATCATATGGATTTTTCTAGTCATTTGTATCCATACATTAGCAACACTACTTATAATTTTCTTATAATGCGCCTAATTAAATACCATTTACAGAGAATTTTAAGTCTTCAACCTGAAAATGGGACCTAACAGCATAGAAATGGCCAACATTACTTTGGACACTTACTTATTTCTGTTATATTTCAAGGGTAAGAATATTTTAAGTTTACGAAAGCATTCAACTATCTGAAAACATGGTACAGATGTGAAATCATATGTCAAGGTTAGATTCAAGGGCACTATTAGGAATAGTAACTATGTGTGTCCTACTGAAACGACAATGTTACACTCATGCCCCCGGGACTACTTTCACTATGCCACCAAAATGCTCCCATGTAACTTCTAATTTACAATTCCCAATTACACCCTTTACAAACATAGTACTTTACAAATTAAAAAAAAAAGTCAGATACTAAGCCAAGGAAGAACTGAAGGAAGCTGGAAAAGGAGATAATCAAGGCTGTCATACTGACAGGTTAAAAAAAATGTAGGTAATTTTCACAGATTCTGGGTAATGGTGGCTTACTTAGATGCTGTAGTAAAAAGATATAGAATTAAGAGTAAGAACCATAGTGTAATCATTTCCCTCAATATATTTTTTTATTTCCTAAGTTAACAAAATGTTCTAGGTGGCCAAATCTCCTACATAACAAAATCAGTAATAAAACAAAATCTTTCTGAATTATAACCTTATTAAAAACAAGCCATCATAAATTTATTCAGTTCACAGGCTGATAATTCAAATCTAGTACATATGGTCAGACAAATACTAGCCTTCCCATTACAAAATAGTTACCATATACTATTATTAGTTTGATAAATTCAAATATCTAATTGTTTAACTATAAATTTCAAAACCAATCAAAACATCTGTAGAACCAGGAATGTTTTATAGACCTCTAACAGAGGCCAGCTGAACTCATAGGTCTAGTGAGTACAATACTGACATGTAAACAGTCATGTAAAACTGTTTGTAATGCTAGTGTTATTTACGTGTCAACCTTCATCAGTTCAGAAAGAACACATGAATCAATGGCCATCCCACTACTCTGCATGTTCACCACAAACCAAAAAGTACTTCATTTCAAACTTTTCCTGTCTAGGAACTTGGGAATAAGGGTGCTTGCTCAACACTAAGTTGACAAGCAAAAGTAAGGTTGTACCTCCTGTGAATGTCCTTTAGAGCTATTTAACACAGTACATGGAAATCCAGTTAAACAGTATTGGATAACTACTTCTCTGTGATGTGTGTGAAGGTGCTTGGATGGAGGCTGGCTCATAAAAGCCTGAGATCTTTCCACATACAGATTCCCACCTGTGTATCAGAATACATAAGAGGGGAAATGGCCAAACACTTTCAAGTCAAGAAGCATGGAGCTACTAGCATTGGCAGTGGGAGATATTTTCAGTGTTAACAATACATAGAAAGAATAGTTTAAATCTTGACATTATCTTAGGACACAAAGAATCCACTATTAATATTACTTTCCTAAATCTATACTGTGTAAGATACTTAGAGAAATTCTTCTCACATGCATTAAACAAACACACTTAGCTCACAATTTCTCCAGAACTGATCTATGTAAGATCTAGTCAATGAAGTCTACAAATTGCCTCAGCACTCTACATATTTGTTTATATCAGATTTTCTCTGAGAGACTCATTTACCTTGTATCTGAATAATTTAGAAAGCACACTTTTGAAAGGTATTTTACTGTTTCAGTTGTATAAATTTATATGAAGAACATTCCTAAAGCTCTGCGGCCAAAGCTAAAATGGAAGGAAAAAGAGAAACACAGGGAGGAGAGGAGTGGTGGCAAGAGCAGCAGCACATGCATGCGGTAGTGAAATGACACAGGTCACATGGCACACGGCACATGCTCAAGGGCTCTGCAGCCAAAGGCAAGGAACAAAAGGCAAGCAGAAGGCACTAGGATAGCACACAGTGTGGGAATCTTACACGTCTGCCTTTGCTAGCTGGAGTACAGGACGGGGAGCGCTTCAACAGAGAGAGAACACCACGTTACACATACTCACTGAGAAGACACCAAGCCCTCTGTATCAACACATAGCATACAGACATATGAAAAAAGCCACTGTTTTGATACATCCAAGTACATATATATCCAGGAAAACTGTAGGATAAAAACAGTAAGGAAACAACTGCTCAGACGTGGTCTAAGGCTGATGAGGTTTTCATTGGCACAGGTATTGTGATCCACATGACAACACTCTATCGAGAAGTGGACAATTTCAACAACAACAAATCTATCAAATCTATTTAGTTTTGCTACTGTTTGACATAAAATACTTATTTTGGCCCTAGTACCCACTCCAACAAATCACCCACAAAATATACAATTAAGCAAATTTGCTTTATACATTTACTACCCTACTCTTATTAAAGATGACTTTTAAAATGTTTTGAACTAAATTAGAAATCATCAGTAATGACAATATATAAAACAAAAACGTAGTTTTAAACTTCCACCCTGACCTCATCTTCATCCTTGAGATTGGCTATGAGAGAATGTAAAAGAGAATGGGTCAAAATGATAGTAAAATCAAGACACTAGTGAAGGGAGGAACCATGACTGAGATCGATATTCTGGAGCACCTCAGTAAGATTTTATATGAGGCTAAAGTTTATGCCTAAACTCTGCCTGCTGAGATAATCCATTTCTCCTGTTGCCAAAATATTAGAAACAGACAAAACAAACTAAGAAAAAAAATCATGAACGGTAAAATGATTCTGCGTTGTTCTAAATAATGAAGTGATAGTTTTAATAGGCCCAAATTAAAGAATAAAAGTAGTAGAAGAGCAGAAAGCAGATTTGGAGAGGACCTATGAGAAGTAAAACTGAGAATCCTGAAGGTAACAGTGGTCCTGTGTGTGGAGGGGTGCGGAGAACATGGATGATATGTAGACACAACACCAAATTAAACTTGCAATTATGTTTAACACAAACCTTTTTCTAAACATGCAAGGTTTAGCTGCAATTAGATGTTCTTTAATAATCTCTTCTATAGTGATAACAGGGCATAGAAGGGGATGACCAGAAGGATGGGATAAGCATGGTGCATAATAATACCATATCTAGGATAAAGAGTAATCTAGATTCAATTATCCTTAAAAACTCAAAATGCTTAACAATGGGAGCTACTGAACTTGAGTTTTAGAATATCTTGGATATGGAACATGAACACATCAAAGACTTAATGCTACAACTGAAACAATTTTACTATGACTTTAATGATAAAATGAATGAATTGCTAACATTGGGAAAGAGCCATAGTTATGAACAATAAACAAAAGAAACAAGAGGGTTATATTATAAATTAAGAATAGAATTTTTTTTAATGGGAGCTTAGTGCTAGCCCTCTCTCTAGTAGAAAATAAGGTTATTTCCTAGTAGTCATGGGATTTGACAATTCCAAAGAAGATGCTGTGGTTCATGTTCTTAGCCAGAGGAAGGCTAAGGAATAAAGACAGAAGGAAGCAGTGAAGTGAAGTCACACTGGTAGATGAGAAATGAAGCTAACGAGGAGGAAAAGAGGACTGCCTAGCAAGGAAATACCCTAACACTCTTAAAGGCATGATACGATTTCTTTAAATAGTCTAGCACTTTATGAGAGCAGTACTATAGCATAACTATTTGTCAGATAAGCAAACGTAGGTACTGAGAGGCCAGGTAATTTCTTTCAAGCACCATGCTAGAAAGTGGAAGAGCCAGCTTATGAACTTTACCAGAACAATGAGAGGACAGAAGAATGAGCACCATTATGCCTTGGGAAAGTCAGAACATGAGCACTGACTCAGCAGCTTTTGCGCTCAGCTTCTTTTCACTGTGTACTAAGAATTCCTCTGCACTACTATAAAATTCAGCTCTGTGCTCGAGGAGTTTCTGCTGCACAGCAGTGGTTGAAGGATCAGAAAGGGAAAGGAAGGTGGGAAGTGGCCTTGACTTGGTGCACTTCCATTACACCCAGAAGAACAATCCCAGAGTGCTCCTGAGAGCAGGGGCCTGGCAGAGATGTTCTTCACACATCTCTATGAAGAAGAGTTTGTTTGCTGAAATACACACTGTTGTGTAATCTAAGAGTATAAGGGAAAAAAAAGACAAAGGCAAGAGTTTGTTAAGGAAAAGTGAAAAAAACTTATCAGCAAAACGAACTCCATAATTTACTCAAACTTTCTCTTCATTCTTTCTAATGTGAATAATAAAAACATCACACTGTTTTAACATAAGAAACAGCAGATTGCAACATGTATTCTCACATTTTTCAAAGACAGTTATCTTTCAATTACATTATAGAATCATCCAGCATAATTTACTGTTTTAGAAATAACAACAAAAAATTCCATTTTGGAGAAACAGGTTTGGTACATTTCCAAACATACCAAAAAGTCTAGATCTATGTTGTTTAGCAATTTGAAGAAAATTATATCAAGAATTTTTTTCCAGGGAAAAATTGTTCTGAAATCATCTTCTGAATATATTGTACTTTAACAAAATATTAATGACTTCCCCTCATTTAAAAATACTTATGTATATTATTTACACTTAAAATCTTCTATCTTTTAATTTCTGGGAAGTGTTCATGTTCACCAGGATGTCAAATTTTATGTCAAGGATTACTAAGTCATCTAATGTGAAATAGAAAATGTATCCAAAGGCAGTGTAAGTAGAAAATGAATGTACTACACATTTACTAGTAACTTCTAAATTAATAAATCTACAGGATTACTTCATACAGAATATGCTATAGCATCCAATTTATGGGGCATATAGCACACATGTTAATTTAAAATTACTTTCCACATTAGAAAACTGTCCATATTAAAAATTGACTTATATTCTTACTGTGAGAATTTAACTTTTTAAATGTCACTTTTTTTGATTTCTCCAGAGACTTATTTTAAACCAACACAGAAACAGCAAGATGCTAAAAAGAAAAGGAGAAAGTAAAACAGAAATCATGAAAAATGAAAGTGAACAATTTCTTATAAATAGTGACAATATTTAAGTAAGCATTCTAGTCAAAGAATGGAAACAGAGATTCGCCAAAGGCCAAAGTAATTTTAAAAGTGTTTCTTACTTTACTACGTTTAATAATAATAAACTACTATATTTAAGATAAGAAAAAAGCATTTTGCTCACATAACTCCAAGTGATATTTTTAAAACTGCATTACTAGGCAAATTCTTCAAATCAATTCACTGATCTTTTTTACTGAAGGATGCATTGGTTTGAAAATTAAAGACTTACGTCATCCAAAAAATCAATCAGTGAGGATGAGGAAGAAGAAAAGGAATCCTATTTAACGAATTCAGCAATAAAAAAATAGAAAATATGGATGAAGCAATTTAATACAAACAAATAATAAATCAAAATTTGTAAATCAATTGAAAGGCAAATGACATTTGTTAAATAAATAAATGAGGAAAGCAGTCACTGTCACTGTTGTCAGGGAACCAAGGGCTACTTTTCAAAGAATGATTCTTCCTTCCTCAAAGGAATGAAATTCAGCTACTGTTCCCAAAGTAATAAAATGAAAGCTCCTGGAAAATCCCTGATTATTAAATTAGTGGTACACTTCTGAAAACAGCAGCTGAAACAGGTTGTCAGAACCTCTGCTTCTACTGCTTCCTGCTGGAACATAAGCAATTTTGTCTACTCTGGTCATGGCCGTAGATTCTGGACTTCTAACTGCTGAGCAAGATGATAACCAATACTTGCATTTTCTGACATAAAACATACTTTGACATTATAGTGACTTTTTTTCAGCAGAATATTTAAATAATAAAGAATGACAAAGAGCTACATAATCGCTATTTCAGAGTATAGCTAACATGAGTGTAAGTTAGCAATTTTACCAAAAAGCAGTATCCTTATTGCATACTTCTTAGGAAACGGACCAGGACCGAGTCCAGGTGAGCTACTGTGTGCTCATGCTCTCGCTGCTTATGTGGCTGAGCCTGCTCTTAGGTCTAATAACAACCTCGGGTTTCAGATTTTCTTGGATGTTTATATTACACACAAGTGTGGTCAGACTTTTCATAAGAAACAGACATATTCCTCCCTTCCAGGTTTCTATTCACTTATTATATGACTCTGGGCTCTCTACTGTGGCTGCAATAAAAGTTTTACTGCAAGTAAATTTTAGATTCCAGAGCAAATTTAAAGCAGACCCAGAGATATTCAGAGCAGTCACTTACTTCAAATTGATCCAGAGCATCGGTAGGCGTATTCAAAAATGCCAAGAAAGAATGCTGTGAGTCTTGGTGCTCTATACCTAGAAGACAGCAGCAACTTTTTTTAAAAGTAGAACAATTAAAACTCATTTTCACGGATAACCTTTCCTGTCTCAATCTATTGAAGTATTTAAAAATAAAACTACTAAATTAACTTTACATAGTTAAAAAAGCAAAATATATTAGTGTTTCCAAGACTCAACGGTTAAATTAGACTAGGTTCCATGATAGTTCTCTAAGTCAACAGTTAACAAAATTCTTTCTCGCTAGTACAGTGGTTCTCAACCTGTGGGTAGTGACCCATTTGGGAGTTGAATGATCCTTTCACAGGGGTCACATATCAGATATTTATATCATGATTCAAAACAGTAGCAAAATTACAAGTTATGAAGTAGCAATGAGATAAATGTATGGCGGGGTACCACAGCATGAGGAGCTGTGGTAAAGAGCAGCAGCTTTAGGAAGATTGAGAACCCCTGATCTTGTATATCATAATAAAATAAAATATAATCTTTTGGGCAGTTTGAAAAAATAAAAAACTAGAAATTTTTCTATTTGTGATTTTTCTAAACTTATTTACCACCCAAACAAGGTTTCTCTTTTGAAATACATTTCAAAAAATAATCTTTTCAGAATTTATGAAATACACTTATTTCATAAATAACACAGTGATAAAAATAAGTATACTTAATTAATTTCCCATCTCAGGTATTAGCTTACTGAAGAATGAGGAATCCAAAATTTAGTTTTTCTCACATGATTTTTTTAAAGGGATTTGCTTTTTTTAAAGATTTATTTATTTATTATGTATACAACATTCCTTTTACGTATGATTGCATGCCAGAAGAGGGCACCAGATCTCATTATAGATGGCTGTGAACCACCATGTGGTTGCTGGGAATTGAACTCAGGACCTCCGGAAGAGCAGTCAGTGCTCTTAAACGCTGAGCCATCTCTCCAGCCCCTCAGATGATTTTTTTTAAAAAAAATAGTAAGCTTAAATACATAATCTCAAAACAATTCTCAAAACAGAAATGATATAAACACTAGGGCAGATAAAGTAGAAACAGTCTATCATGCAATTTAAAAGTTTTATAAATTTTATGTATATGAATGTTTTTCCTTCATGTATGTGTACTACATGCATGCAGTTCTTAAGGAGGCCAGAAGAGGGCATCAGAACCCTGGGACTGGAGTTATAAAATGTTTTGAGCCATCATGTGGGTGCTGAAGATTAAACCTGGGTCCTCTAGAAAAGTAGCCAGTGCTCTGAACTGCTGAGCCATCTTTCTAGCCCCTACTACACAACTTTGACTTTTTCATCTTGAAGCGTTATCAACTATTTGTGTTTCTCCCTTCAGACCCATCTAGCACAAGGCAGGCACTGTCTGCAACTATATTTGTGTGCTTACCCACATATGTGCATTTAGAGGTCAGTAGTCAGCTGTCTTGTTTTATTGGTCTCTATTTTGTTTTTGGTTTGTCTATTTGTTTGTTTTTAGAGACAGGGTTTCTCTGTGTAACAGTCCTAGCTGTCCTGGAACTCACTTTGTAGACCAGGCTGGCTTTGAACTCACTGAGATCTGCCTGCCTCTCCTTTCTAAGTCCTGGAATTAAAGGTGTGTGCCACCACCACCCAGCTTCCATTTTGTTTTTGAAACATCACTAAGACTAGAGCTCACCATCTGGTTAGAATGGCTGTCAGCAAGCTCCAGGGAGTTTTTCTTTTGTCTCTCTTTGCTGTGATTATAGGTGTATGCTGCCAAGTGAGCATATGACACACTGAGTCATCTCCCCATCACTGATTTATATGCTTCTTACTATTACTCTGATATATCATAGTTATCAAATAGGCAGTTCTGAAATTTATTTAGTAAACAAATATTTATGATGAGTTTACTATGAACGGCAGCTAAAGGCTCTTGCTACCAAGCATGAAGACCTGAGTTGAATCTCTAAGACCCACATGGTGAAAGAGAAAACTAACTCCTAAAAGTCATTCTCTAACCTCTATATATGTGCAATGACATGCACACACCCCCCACACCATACACACAAACAAATGTTTTTAAAAGAGCCTACAATAGTAGCAGATTCTGTACTAGATACTGGGAATAAAATAGTAATAAAGTATAGAAAAGGTCTTGCCCTTATTTTGTAAACATATTTAGACAGCACAATATATTATGTTGTAACATGAAATTTTATTTTGGAATATTCTGAATAAAAAAGCCCTTAACATGCTTTCATAAAGCAATATGCTATAAGGTTAAAAAGCCTTTTCTTAAGTTTAGATATAATCTAAAAATAATGCAGTCAATTGGATGTGTCAGTTTTATTTGGCACAGGTGTCATTCTTGTTGAATTGCCTTTAGCACCACAAGGCCACTCATGTGTTACATACTGTTTTTCTTCCTTAATATATCTCTCCTCCACTGTTCATGAATTAAAATCAAGCATGATCATTTTAGCAGGATGGCTTATTCTTTTATTCCTATTCACTTTTGCTCATAAAGAAAGTCAATCAACTATGACACAAAACTGTAACATCAAGTACTGCAATGCCTTTATGTGGCTGATCACTCCGTTCTCCACAGTGTAAGTGGACACAAAGACCAACCAGCTTTATCCCTCACTGTGTTATGGAGATGGAAAATGATAAGAGTAATCCTTAGCCAAATACAAAGTTAATTTATTAATCCAGTAACTGATGAGAGCCTTTGTCAGAAAAATAGATTTCGGATAATCCCAAATAAAATAACCCTTTACTAAGTCACACTCTGAATTTATTTTTACTAAATCATCCACTCTTAATGTTCACATTATGGAAAGATTGCATAAGAAGTTCATATCATAGGGATATGATATACTCTGAGCTAATTCCATGTGAAAAGAAAAATGGAAGGTCTCAAGAAAATGCTAATAAAATCTTGGAAATCACATAGGACAAGCAATGTAATCATCAAACTGGAAAAACACAACAAACACCCAAATAATTCTTACTAAAATAATCAATATTTAATTAGTTATCTTAATTATTTTATATTGTTTCCTTGACTGTCCTTCCTGTACCCATATGATTTTTGTACATTGCAGGCACATAAAAAGTGTTAATAAAAGTAGTTCCAGCACTTAGGGGAAGGGGTAAGAGGATTCTGAATTCAAGAACACCAGGGGCTACTCTGCAAGACTGTCTCAAAAACAACCTCGCCCTTTTCAAGCTTCTCCACTAAGTTCTAAAGTTAACATCCCAGCACTACTTTTGAAGTGACTACCTTATATGATGACATGTGAGAACATTATAAACACTTCACAAAATACTTTAATTCCAACCTCAAAAGCTCCTCATGAAATATTTTGTAACACTGAATAACAGTCAAATTTGTGGCAAATTGGTCACTTCTGTAACTAAAAATTCTTAATCTAATGCATATTAACTAATCCATAGTAGCTCGGCCCTGCATGTGTGCACGTATATATTCTTGCATGTGTTTGCGTTCATGTGTGGTTGCTAATGCAAAGAATTCTTCATCTACACAGTAAGCTGGCTCTCACACAACAAAGGACATTCAGAACAGCAAGTCCTGATACAAACACATTCCCATACCCTTTTCAGATCTAAGCTCTTCGGTGTCCTTTATCAGCTGCTCAATTTCGGATAGTAGTTCCAAGTTCTTCTTCTCTGAATCCTTCAGTTTACTTACATAAGAGGAAAAAGAAGACAGTCATTTAGTAATTTTGTAGAGCTGGGCTTATTTGATTTAAATGTGTGTGAGGCTAAAGTAGGAGACCATAAACTACTGCATGGAAGACAAATACAGCTGGTTACCTACTATTATACAAATTAATAAAGCAAGCCAGACTCATTCATTTCTGTAAAGAGGATGGCTGCCAGGGCTGAGATGCAGCTAAGGAGCAGAGGACTTGCCTGGCACATGTGAAGCACTGGCTCAACTCTCAGCACGGAAACACGTAAGAACAGGAGGGCTGCTGCACTGTGGTCACAGAGCTGAGCAGAGAAGTGTTTGCTGACCCTGAGCTGAATTATTAAATTTAACAATATTATGGAACCACAGTTAATGTAAGAATTCTTTCAGACCTTGCTCATGTATCACCATGAGCATATACATGAATCTATAACTTTCAACCTGACTCAGCTCTGCTTTATGAATAATGTTAAACTCCAATGTCCTGGGTAAAGAAAAAAAAGATGACACTTACTCATATTATAATGCTGAAAATGATACTCAATAGTTCTTTATACAAGGTTTACTTCATATTATTCAGAAAAAATCTCTTTCAATACATCATAAGTACATTTACATAAAATGTACTTAATTTGTATCTGTTATATATAACAAAAGGTCATAATTTAACAGAAATGTGTGTCTGTCCTTTGATAAGAAATTAATGATTTCAGCTTAAGTCTCAAGGCACCATACCACTCAAAACCAAATCTGTACCCCTACATTTCTCTCATGCTTGTGGAAGTTTTGATATTCTGAGCCAGATAAATTTTTAAATTTATAGTTTAATTTTTAATGTAAACTTACTGTTGTCCCACTACTGTTACTGCCAACTAATTTTTTAAAAGATTTATTTATCTTTATCCACAAGCATAAATATGTATGCCTGCATGAGTTTATGTATATACCACATGCATTCAAATTACCTAAGGAGGCCAGAGTGCTTTGGATGCTATGGAACTAGAGTCACAGGCAGTTGTGCGCCTGATCTGAAAATCAAAACTTCGTCTCCTGCAAAACCATTAACAACTCTTAATTACTGAGCCGTCTCTCCAGCCCTGTGACTTATTTTTGAAGCATCTTTATATCTAATCAAATTACAATTTTTCATTTTATCATTTCTATATGTGAAATACAATTTGCTGCTCTTGTGACAAGAATTGAGGGGTATGTTTACTAGCTAACTTCCCTGGATACCAGGAGTTTGCTTATTTTTAAAAAACAAAGGAACCTGGAAAATAATCATAATTATTTCACCATTACAAAACTTAACTTCTTGAAAAAAACCAAACCAAAACAAAACAAAATAAAACAAAGAATCTACAAAACTTAACATTGATAAAATGATCATTTGTTTTTACCTTAGGTCTTTTGACCTAAGGTAGAGGCTGCAATTTTCAGGTGTTTGTATTTTGTTCTGACAGTAAAGCTGCAATCTATACAGAATGAGAGAATTTCAGATTTAATAGAATAAAATTTGAGTCAACTAAACTTTACAAATAAGGGGAAGAAAGAATAAAGAATGAAATGTTATTTGAAAATAATAATTCATCTATGGATAAGCCTAAAGAAAACAAGACTGTATGAGACTTTCACTAGAATTACATCTTTTCTGTTTCAAATCTGCACAACGTTTTCTGCACTACTTTGTGCATATTTGTGTGTGTGCATTTTGTGTGTATTTGTCTGTGTGTGTGTGTTCACTTTGTATGTATATGTTTGGTTACTTGTGCACTTTGTGTGTATTTGTATGCATGTGTCTGGGTGTGTGTGCACTTTGTATACATTTGTGCATATGTGTCTGTGTGTGTGTGTATTTTGAGCACATTTGTATATGTGTGTCTGGTGTGTGTGCACTTTATGTGTATGTGTCTGGGTGTGCACTTTGTGTATATGTATCTGGGTGCATATGCACTTTGTATACATTTGTGTGTATGTGTCTGGAAATATGTGCACTTGTGTGTATGTGTCTGGATGCATGTGCACTTTGTGTATATGTGTATACATGGGTCTGGATGTGTATTTTGTGTACATTTGTGTGTATGTGTCTGGGTGTGTGTGTGTGCACTTTGTGTGTATTTATATGCATGTGTCTGGGTGTGTGCATGCACTTTGTGTGTATTTGTGTGTATGTGTCTGGGTGTGTGCATGCACTTTGTGTGTATTTGTATGCATGTGTCTGGGTGTGTGCATGCACTTTGTGTGTATTTGTATGTATGTGTCTGTGTGTGTGTGCACTTTTATGTGTTGTCTGGGTGTGTGCGTGCACTTTGTGTGTACGTACTTTGTGTGTGTCTGGGTGTATGTGCAGTTTGTGTGTGTCTGGGTGTGTGCATGCACTTTGTGTGTATGTGTCTGGGTGTGTGTGCACTTTATGTGCATTTGTGTTTTTTTCTTTTTTGTTTGTTTTTTCCCTTGGTTTCTCGAGACAAGGTTTCTCTGTGTTGCTTTGGTGCCTGTCCTGGAACTAGCTCTGTAGACTAGGCTGGCCTGAAACTCACAGAGATCCATCTTTTCTATCTCCCAAGTGCTGGGATTAAAGATGTGTGCCACCACATAGTGTATGTGTATGTATGTGTCTGGGTGTGTGCATGAATGTAAAGGGCAGGGGTCAGCAGCAGGTGTCTTCCTCAACAGTTTTTCACCTTAGTCTCAGAGACAAAGTTTCTCACTGACTTCGGAGTGCACTAATCTGGCTAGATGCCTACTAAGGTCCGGGAGCCCTCCTGTCCTTGCCTTTCCAACCCGGGGATTCAGGGATTCCAAGCAGATACCATGGCTCCCAGCTCCCCCGCTCCCCCCTTTTTTTATGATGTGAGGATCAGAGATCAAATGCTAGGTCTTCATGCTTACAAGATACACACTTTACTGACTGAGTCATTGTCCCAAAACTGTTCATCACTTTTTTTGGTGGGGAACAGAGCTGGGGATTAGATCCAGGGCCTTGGGCATGCCAGGCAAGTATTATACTACTCAATTTTATTTCCAACCACATGTGCATCACTTTTTGTTTAAAACAACAACAACAACAACAACAACAAAAACCCAGCAGATAGGCAGTTAAACACGTAACTGCTTTTCAAATACTTTCCAAAAAACTTATAAACTATTGTAATAAGATGAAATTATTGATCCTTACCATTCCGTTATAATGTTTGATGCTTTAACCTTATTCAGTTCTTCCTGGATGGCCTGCTTAGCTCTAATTTCTGCATCCAGAGCTGATTGCAACTCTAGTCTAGCTGACATGTCCAGTTTTGCAAAACGACGCATTTTCCAGGGCATATCCTATAGAATAATATGATTATGTCTTAGTTCCTTCCTATTTTATTCTTAACATTTAAATCTCATAGTACAAGTGAATCCAGAAGCTATTTTATAAGCCAAATCACTGAAACTGAGTGGAACTGGCACATAATTTGTGAAATGCATTTTTCATTAAATCCAGAAATAACAATAAATATGTATAACTGAACAGAAGTAACTGGTTTCTCTTTTCAGCTCCTTCAATAACAAATGGCTAGCTATAAAATAACAGCTAACAGTGACATTTTATATTTTCTTAAACTGGAATCGACCTCAACTAACTTATTTTTCATGAAAACTTTTACAGCAAGTGAAAGCCTGGGAAAAGTGGTACAATTAGATTATGTGCTTTCTGCTTTCAAGAGAGGTAAGCTTCCAGGTGAAATGGCAGTGCTTACTGTTGCTCGTGTCCCCAAGCTGGAATTTCTTAACGCTTCCAATTCCTCAGTCATTTTAGAAGCTAAGGCCTGAAGATAACCTCGGGCGTCCTTTTCATCACTCACCCTAGAACATACACACAAGATGGACATGAAGTATAAAGAAACACAGAAAACTTCACTGGGTGGATGTAATTTAAAGCTTCCTTAAGAACTTAATACTAAAAACTTAGATACTTAAAGAACCCCTTTAAAAGGACGGCCACACCACTGCTGTCAAAAGTTGTGAACAGGCCGGGTGGTGGTGGTACACACATTTAATCCTAGCACTCGGGAGGCAGAGGCAGGCGGATTTCTGTGAGTTTGAGACCAGCCTGGTCCACAAGAGCTAGTTCCAGGTCAGGCTCCAAAGCTATAGAAACCCTGTCTCAAAAAACAAAACAAAACAAAACAAAAAACAAACAAACAAAAAAACCACAAAAAAACCCCAAAAACCAAAACCCAAAAGTTATGAACAGATTTATGATCTGGCAGTATTTAGGAAATCCCATGTTACTTACATCTGATAAATTAGTAAATCACCCTTGAACCACAAATAACTCCTTAGATCTATAACTGGACAAGTGTGAGGCTTTCTGAAGACTACAAAGATTTCTCATTATCTAGATTCTTACATTTTTATCTCAAAAATTTTCTTTAAGACTGATGTATACTGAATTAAAAAAATTTCAAGTAGGATATTCTGCAGAAATCAGGGTTATACTACACCAAAAGACTCCTGTTTTCTAAAAGAATTAATTAAATAGTAATGAAGAATAAAGGATAAATTTTAATGAAGTTCAAGTCCGGTATCTATTTATCATCTTAAGATTACACAGCTGATAAATACCACCAGTTTTAGATAGAAAATTTGTTAAATCACACATTAAAAAAGAAAAGGTACAGTGATTGAGGAAGAAACTCAAAGTCAACTTTTAGCCAAAACATGTGCACGTGCACCCAACCCCAATGCCCACCCCTCACTTTAAAAAAAAAAACAAGTTTCCTACTGTTGTAATTTCTAGTTATTTCAAACTGAATCATGGGCCAATAAGTAAGTGTGCCACAATGCTTCACTATTACTTTTAAGTCACTTATTTATTTTAAGTCTATTTTGTTTCTGTTTTCCAACAATACTTTGAATACTAGCACCTTCAGTTGGCTGTTATTTCACTGCAGTGTTTATATGTCACTCTTTTTTTCTTTTGAAAGACCAAGAATTTGAGGTCAGCCTCGAGGACATGGTGAAAACTGTTTCTTTAAAAAATGAATGAATGAGTTACTAAATGAATAAATGAATGAAGATTCCTTCCTTCATCAGGGTCACATCCCATTTTCCTAGCCACTGGAAAACAGAGTGGTGGTCTAGAACCACAGATTTTGGAAAAATCAGTTTATAAAGCAATTTTTCAGCCCTATCTTTTGTTATTTATAGCTCTGTGACCAATTTGGCTAAATATTAAAATGGTTCTCTTTAGAAATGTAAATCCAATGATGTGGACATAAATTAAACATTAATGCACTAACAGTTGCATTTTGTGCAACACAGCAAATGTCTACAATCTGGGCATGTCTGTGAGCATTAGTTACCAGAAGAGCTCTACAGTTAGGTCAGCATATATCTGGTTTATTAGAATAAAGTTAGTTAAAATACATTTTATTCACTCTTGATTTAAGAAGGGTGTCAGAAATCTGATAAAGGAAAATAGAAAGCTGATTAAACTAAAAAGTAGTAACAGGAAACTAAAATCCTCAATAAATAATTAACTGGTTTGTAGATACATAAAGGAACTGGCTATTCTGACATAAAAAGTTAAAATGGGTAAAGATTTAAATGAATACAAAAGTTATTAGGATATAAATGTCTTCACTGGATCCTGCTCTCTCGACACAGTATACAATGAGCAAATTCTAATAACTATGGTAACAAATATTAGTGAATTAGGATGACAAAATTCATAGGCCAAATAATCCAAATCAGCCCCGAGTACAGAGGAAATAGTGTGTGAGGCTAAGCTGCAATTACTAAAGGTCTTAAAATGTCACACCTGGACAGACATATTATACCTACTTATGGTTCAGCTTCTACGTTTTTCTTAGGCTATCAGTTGCTTAAAATAGTCATAAATATGCAGTTTGATTTTAGAAAAAACATCAGAAGCAAGCGAATGTGTTTCTTGAGTCCTTTAAAGGTTGACCTTTCCCACTCTGACCTTGCTTTCCATGGCAAACTAATACGATGAAGGGTTAGGAACTTCTCAGGGTCCACAGTCCATGCCACCCACAGCAGCACGTTTGAAAGAGCACTCACCACTGGATTATTTCTGTGATTTGAGCTTCCCAGTGGGCAACTGATTCTTTCTTGTCTGCTAGATCTTTGACCTCTTCTTCTAAGTGCTGGTTGCGCAAACTTAAGCTCTCATACAACGTGGTCAGCTGGAAGGCAGTGTGAAGGCATGAGTGACTTTTAGGAACAGGACTTCACAATACCTAGACACCGGTTGTTCCATCTAATAATGCATAAACTTCCACTAAAAATGTTCATAATTTTATTATTCCATACCACACTGAAGACAGAATTTGGTAATAATGAGCACCTTGAATTTTCCTGCTTTCTTTGCTTTTCCTCACACCCTACATTAAATTGGCTCTAATTGTGAATATTCTTCATCTACCTGAAAAAAAAAATCAACCAATTCTTCAGGTAATATCCTCTCTTCCTTCTTCCCTCCTCCTTCCCTCTCACCTCCTTTTTCTGCAATTGCATGTTAACTTTAGAAAATCTTGTAAACAATCACAAGCACAGACAAAAATTGTTTTGAGTCACCATGTGGTTCTAGGGGGTCAAACCCAGAGCCTCTGAAAAGCAGCCCACACAGTGGCCCAGGAGATATGATGCCCTTTTCTGCCTCTATCAGCACTGTGTACATATGATGTATAGACATACAAGCAGGCAAAACATCCATAAACATAAAATAGATATAAAGATTATTAAAAAATGAAACTGTGTACCAGTTCAAAAGAACATAAAAAATGATAATGTACTTAACAGTAAGAAACAAAAATGGATACTGTAAGTGAATTCTCATGAGCCCAACACCCAACTTCAATGACTACAGACCTCAACAGCAATCTTTTGTCATGTGTTTTCCAGAAAAAAATATTTTAATCATATAACTTTCTTTGTAAAATACATTATTTTAAAATGATGCTCTTTCATTTTAAATATAAACATTTGTACCTAAATTTAACAAATTTGGGATTAGAGAATGACTCAGTCAATAAATTTTTGGGCCGGGTGGTGGCGGTGCACACCTGCCTTTAATCCCAGCACTTGGGAGGCAGAGGTAGGCTGATCTCTGTGAGTTCAAGGCCAGCCTGGTCTACAAGAGCTAGTTTCAGGACAGCCTCCAAAAGCCACAGAGAAACCCTGTCTTGAAAAACCAATAAATAAATAAATAAATAAATAAATAAATAAATTTTTGGTGTGCGGGCATAAGGACTGAGTTCTGGGCCTCAGCACCATGTAAGAAGGTTAAGTGCGGCAGGGTGCAGCTGGTATCTGCAACCCCAGCGCAGGGGTGGAGTAAGAGGACCCTTGCTGCTCACTGGCTATCTGGCCAAAGCGGTGACTCCCTCCAGGTTCAGTGAGAGGCCTTAGCTAAAAGATTAAAGAGGGACATCTGCTGAGAAACATCTAGCCTCCACTCCACCTACCTGTGCATGTACAAACACACAAACATAAACACATATATCACACACACAAATGTACAAACATATACCATGAAAACACTTCAAAACAACCTTTCCACTGTTGAAATTTCTATTTATTTTAACATGCTAAAAGACTAAAACAAAACAAAAGAACAAAAATAGTCAGGTTTGTTAAGCTAAATCATGATCCACCAAGAATGTGTGATATGCTTGAAGCATTTTATTTACTGGTTTCTTTATGAAATTTAACATGTAACATTTTACTATGGCAGTTACTTCTTTCAACCTGTGGAATGTGCCATTCCTTTCTCTCTTGGACGGCTTTTCTTTTCTCCTTCTGAGAGTTCAGCTGTCAGTCTTTAACTCCCTGAGCACCATGCCTTCTCTGGCTGCTTTTAGGATTCTATGTTGGCTCCTATGTTGGTTCCTTTTAGGTTCTATGTAGGATTCCATGGGCAGGTTCATGACTGAAAACCTTTATAGTTTTTGGCATTTAAAAATGTGTAGCTGGCTAGACACACACACACAGGTTTTGGATAATTTAGATCATTACCTCTTCAGACACAGGTTCTGTAACAGTCTCACTCCAGCTGAGAATCCTCACCTCTGTTTATGCTGACGGCCTTGCTTCCCTCTCACTCTGTGATTCTGTTTGTGTAGTTGCATCTTCCTCCTGGTTTGTAGTGATTTGTCTAAGTTTGCTGCTATGTGTGGCAATTTTTTTTCATATATGTCATACAGTGTGTGTGAAAAATTTCTTAAGTTAAAAACAATCTCATGCTATTACTATCCACCCATGTCCTGACAAATAGTCCCCACCTGCCATTAGTTGTTTTGTTTCTCTCTTCCTTGTATGCTTCAGAGACCCTAGGTCAGCCTTTTTAATATGTACTGCTGATGGGGGACAATTTTTCTGAGAAAAGCTATTTACAGAATTGTTCCTGTGATGAGAAATAGTCACAATGTTCTTAATTTTAAAGGTCATCTTGACTGGGACAGAGGAGCCCAAATATTGGTTGAAATCTTATTATGAGTATGTCTGTGTGGATATTCATAGATGAGACCAATATTTAAGTCAGCAGTGAATAATGAAGACTGTCTTCCTCAACTTAAGCGAGCACACTCTAGGTAGAAAGGAACTCTGACCAGCTGTTTCTAAGGAGAAACTGCAGTAATTTTTTGGTCTTAAGCCTGCTTACAAATGGACTAGAAAAGCACAGAGGTTCCCTCATTCTTGACCATGCTAACTGTAGCTGTCAGGACTTGTCAGAGTCTCTAACTTTAGTTAATTCATTATGATTAATAAATCTCTACCTATAAAGCCACATATCATATATATACACATACACATGCATCTCTCTTTCTCTCTCTCTCTCTCTCTCTCTCTCTCTCTCTCTCTCTCTCTCTCACACACACACACACACACACACACACACACACACACACACACACACAAATGGTCTGGGCATGGTGGTGCATGACTGTAATCTCAGCACTTGCAGGGGGTAAAGGTAGGAGAATCAATCATTCAAGGCTAAATTCATCTACAAAATAAGCTCAAAGATATTCTGGGCTATGTGAGATACTATTTCAAAAAACGTGGTGAAGGGGAGGGGCTTAGGAGGGCAAAAAGATGGAAAAACTGAGTCTGGCACAGACGATATAACAAAACCTTGCCATACACTGACACCTTATGAGGAGGACCATTAAATAACACACAAATACAAAGTGACAACCATGATTTAAATCACAGTGAAAGACACCCAGCATGTATTCAACCAAGTGAGATTCAGTCACTCACCTTATCAAGTTCACTTGTTAACTTTTTATTTTCTTCAGTTAGTAATACTTTTTCCCGTTCATATTGTTGTTTGAACTCATTTTCAAATTCTTCCCTTTCACTTTGACTAACAAAATTTAAAAAAGAAAAGAAATTGGATTAAAAGTAAATCGAAAAAAATTGTTTGTAACATTTACACAGCAACTACATAAGAATCAGACTGAGCTGGGTGGTGGTTGTACATGCCTTTAATCCCAGCACTAGAGAGGCAGAGGCAGGCGGATTTCTGTGAGTTCAAGTCCAGCCAGGTTTGTAAGAGCTAGTTTCCAGGACAGGCTCCAAAGCTAGAGAGGAACCCTATCTTGAAAAACAAAAAAAGAAAAAAAAACTTTCCAAGAATCTACAGTGTGCTGGGCATGATAGTGCATGTGTTTAGTCCCAGAATTCAGGAGGCAAGAGGAACCATGGAGTTTGAGACCAGCCAGATGTGCATAGTGGATTCCAGGCCAGCCAGGGCTACAAAGTGAGTCTCTGTCTTTATTTTTTATGATGTAAGAGTGGTGGGCTGGCTTATTCAGTCATTTAACAAATATTTTTAGATTATCTGTTATTTGCCAACAAATAAATTCTTATGAGTTTTGTAAACAAACCCTGCTTACAGAGTTTACAGTCAAGTGCAGGAGAAGAAAAATTAGTAAGTGAATTAAATTTAGGTAAGTCTATAAGGAAAGTAAGATATGGTAATGTCACAATTACTATTTGGGACAAAGTGACTAAGAGAGATGCATAATCAGGGAAGGCTGATGAAGAAGTCACCAACATGAGCGTAATAGTGACTGCCATCCGACCCAGGGTTACTAAGTTTAAAGACAAAGTAATGAGACCAAGCTAGGTACTTTTCTTTATATAGCTACATCTGTTTTTATAAAATAGAGGCATGGAGTCCTCATTTGAGCCAGTTATTTCCTAGCTTATTAACACTATTAAGAATGTTATCCTGTTCATTTTATTAGTATTTAGAAATTAATATATATCTGAATTTTAATACCCAATAATTGGTTTGAAATAATTTCAATTAACATAAAAGTTATAACTATAGTACAAAGAACCTCTGTGTCTCTGTCTAGATGTCCCAATGGCTAGCATTTTCCATCAGCTGCTCGACCACTCTGTGTGTACCATATTCTCCTGAACAGCTAGGCGCCGGGGCAGAAGTTATTCTTCTGACATGTATAATCCAGACTGTATTTCCTCAAGTCAAGTACATGCTTAACTTCTGTAAATACCTGTCCCAACTAACACTACTCCCAAATCTACATCCCAACTCAAACTTCCCACTACCCCAATCCTGTCTCTGTTTCTTATCTAGTCCCCAAACCAGCTGAAAAACATGTGCTGAGCCTTGCCTCCTTCATTTTCCTTTGGTGTAAAGTGGTTTGTCTTCCCCAGATCTCAGAACAGCTTTGAGGAGTGCAGGGCTCTCACTGTGTAGGTGACCCTCAACTGGAGCCTGTCTGATGACCGGGCGTCATTACACTATTCTCAGCACACCCCATCAGGAAGCACACCAATGTCTCCCGAGCATTTCACATCCAGCACTCTGAACTCAACACAAAAATCAGACCTACCTTCCTAGCTGACTTCATCTGTGCGCATTTACTCTGCACTCTTTTCTACAGGTAAAAAACTGCATATGCCTGAGTAAGGCTGATCTCTTCATTGCTCTAGTACCTTCTTCCCAACTCTATTGGCTAATTTCTGCCAAATTACAAACATGTTATCATTTCTACTTGGTAAACACACACACCATCACCACCACCACCAACAACAAAAACAAATAGCAAAGTAACTTGAGATAAACTTCTCCAGCTACTATTTCACTGCTTACTTTGTGCACATTCACGCTCTAGTGTTATTTGCATCTTATTCCACTGGCTCTCCTTCAGGTCTACTATGGCCACTTTTCCACTGGGACGGTTCTCATCAAAGTCACATGATACAAAGTGCAAATGCCACTCTGAAGTTCTTTTCATAGTATGAGGCTTTCCTACACACGGACAGATTTGACATGCTTTCTTGATCAGGGTCCCAGAAAAACCACATTTGCCTGGTTTTCTTCCTAGCTTTCTCTCTCTATTCATTTTGCTAGTTCTTCCTCATCTCCCAGTTTCTAAAGACTGGAATGGCCCAGAGCTCAGTTCTAGGGCCTTATTCTATGCACAGTCACTAAATGATCGCATTCAGACCCACAGCATTAAATACCACAGGAGAGTGACACCCAGAATTATATTTCCACCCGTGCAACTAGCCTATTCCACACATCTACCAAGTGGCTGAAGCTCATTTACAGCGAGCTCTTAACAGTCTCGTGGCCTGTGGCCTGCTCAGCACTTTCTGAACAGATGGGCTCTCCTCTGAGCACCATGTTCTCACACCGTCGCACACATTTCACACTGTATTTACTCCTCACTGGGAAGTTACCTCAGTACAGTCTCCTCCAGCCATCTTCTTTTCTGTGTACAGAATTTAATCTTCTTATTAATGGCCGTTCCTTATTTGTTTCTGTTCTTAGCACAGATTACTATGTGATGTGTTCTACACTACACTTGTTGTCTTTATTGTCTTTCACCTACTGAGAGCAGGTTCCATGAGGACAAAGACTTTTGCTTGGTCTGTTTACTGCCATATCATAGTGCACACAATAGCACTTCACATTTGTCAAGAATGCACCAGACTACAAAAATGTGAGCTTTCAATATAAGTAACACAGGATGTGTGCCAATAAAATCTATACAGTTGCCAAAAACCTAAAACCTGAGTGTTACTGATAACTCCTCCTGCTCTCTCTTTTCTCATAGCCACTGCCTTCTGTCCTGTAGATTCTGTCTTTTCAGCAGAATTTCTTGAATCTATCATACTCACTTCCAACTTCAGTATTATCTATGGACTTCTAATTTTACAGCTGGATTCCTCTGGATCTTTCCAATCATTCTCCATAAGGTAGCAAGTGACTATTTCAAAATATAAGTACTATCATGTAATTTTCCTTACATTAATTCACAAATCTGCCTGTGATTTTTTCCCCCACAGTCTCATGTCTCACCACTCCGTTTTTCTATGTGTGCATCCACCACAGTAAGGAGCATTTGTTTTACGAAGGTGTGACATTTTCTTTCCTTAAGTCACCTCTGTCTGAATGCTCCCCATTTCCTTCTTCCTAAGTCTTTAGGTACAGCTAAGAGGTATTTCTTCCTGGAAAGCCTAAGGCCCTAAGGCAGCTCTCCCACGCTGCTTCCATCTACTCCCTGCTCTGCCCTCTACCATGCTGCACTGGCTTTGTCATCACTGGAGTCTGGATACGACATTGCCTGAGTTTCCCAGGACTTAGCACACAACATGTACTTAGCAGATATTTGCTGGATGACAAAATAATTTGATTCTTACCTTTCTCTCCTGTTCTTTTCCAATTTGTCTTTTAAAACCATAATTTCTTTGTTGAGAGCAAGTTGCTGGCCTTCGGAGTCATGCAGTTCCTTCTTCAGATTTTTAATCTCACTTGCGTGTATTCCTTCTCTTTTAGATATTTCTTCTTCATAAAAGATACTTTTCTTTTCCAAGTCAGTTTTCAGTTTAGTTATCTCTTGCTGATGTTCTATGCTGCATATTCCTGGTGAGTAACTAATTTGTTTTTGCTAAAAAAACAAAATAAGAAGCAGCTCCTTTCCAACAGGAACTATATACGCATATCATATACATACTCTCACACAGAGATGGACATGTAAGGCTATTCTTTCTCTGCCATATATTACAAAGATTTTCCTCGGTTTATACTATTTTATGATCTTTGCTATTTTTGAGTCTGCACACTAAGGTCAGAGATCAATCTGAACTCTTTGTTGGCATTTTAAAACTTTTTTGTTTTCAATCTGTTCTAGTTTGCTCCCTATTGTTATGGTAAAGACCATGACCAAAAGCAACTTGTGGTTAATTTCATCATCTAGGTTAAAGTCCATCATAGGTGAAAGCTAGGGCAGGAGCTCAGGACAAGACCTTGGAGGCAGGAACTAAATCTGAATCACAAAGAAGTGCTGCTTACTGGCTTGTTCTCCATGGCTCCTGAAGCCTGTTTTCTAACACCACCTCGGACCATCTCAAGGGATCTGGACCCTCTCACACAAACCATTAATCAAGAAAATGCCCTACAGACTTGCCTACAGGCAATCTGATAGAGGCATTCTCTCAGCTGAGATTCTTTCTTCCCAGATGACCCTAGCTCTGTGTCAAGCTGATGAAAACTATCCAGCAAAACATTTAAATTTTTTATCTAGGATTATAGTTATATATTTAAGAAAAAATCTAACCATTTTATGTCTAATTAGCAAGAGTCAAAGTTTGCATTACATTTCATGTCTTTAAAAGATTAAGATGGAGGAAGGCATGACTGAGTTACAACATATAAGACAAGAAAGAAGGCTTTTTGTAATGCTCAGAAAGAAATTACAAAAGGTCTAAACATCTTCGTGACTACATTAGGAAAAAAACCAGGTCTGTTAACTTCTAAGGAAAACGTTATGGAGGAGGAGAAAAGTGTTTTTCTGAGATAGAGTCTCACACTTAGGCCATGATGGAATTCACTACGTTGGCCAAGCTAGCCTCACATTCGTCCTGCTTCTGAAGCCTAATACTTGGGTTACAGCATGAGCTACTGTCTCACTTAGGGTTTCTAATACAGTGATAAACACCATGACTAAAAGAAACTTGGGGATAAAGGGTTTATTTCAGCTTAGAGCTCAGGTCACAGACCATCACTGGGCAGTGTTGAGGCAGGAACCTGGAGGCAGGAACTGAAGTAGAGCCATGGAAGAGCACTGCTTTACAGACTTGCACCTCATGGTTTGCTTAGTCTGCTTCCTTATCCAACAAAGACCACCTCTGAGGAGTGGTACTGCACACAATGAGCTGGGACCTCAGACACCTAGACAGAGTTGCCTAGAGTTCAATCTTATGGAGGCATTTTCTCAATTAAGATCCTGCTTCCCAGGTATGTCTAAATTTGTATCAAGACAGCCATTATGCTCAGCTGGAGGAGGAAACATATGGTCAAAATGCATTGATCTAGAACTTAGAATGAGATCTCTTGCATGAATACTGTTGGAGTAACCGACCACTTCCTGACTGAATTTAAGGCCTGATTCATGGAATGGAGCTCATGCCTAGCAATGTAAACACGGCCAAAAATAGGCTCCCAGTGACAGCCTCCTAGTTTTGTTAAATGGATATCAAACTGTCTTCTAAATACTTATTTTTATACCCATGAGTTATCAGTCCTCAATGCATTGATTTCTTTATTCAGTGGACAGCGGTTAATACAGAGGATCAACTGGTCAAATGTGACATCGATATCATATCACCTTCCCGCAAGGATTAGAGAATGTCAAGAAAGAGAGGGAGGAAAGTGTGTAAGAGAAAGACGTTGGGAAGGACTACTTCTAAACAGTGTCTTGGACACGACAGGGCATTGTGTTCATGAACTCGCAGCTGCTGTGGTTGCCTGCACAAGACCAAGCCAGAAAAATTCCCATGCAGATCAAGGAGGCGCCCATAAGGACCCACACCTAATTGAGAAACTATTGGTTACTGGGATAAGGAGAGTCAGTTTATTTCAGAGGTTGTTTCTGGTAAATTGTCCTTGCATGGTGGATGGTCTTACACCTAACTACATACATGCAGGCTGCATTAGTTGGACTCAGTAGGGTAATGAAAAACAAACAAACAAACAAACATGAAGTTGGCATGGGAATTCAGTGAGTGTTATCATTTTGCTGACCTTCCCTGTCACCTGAGTACCCTGTCCCTTTAAGAGACAAGCTGATCTCACGCCTTCTCTCTACCCCGTCCTCCCCCTCTTCTGAAGAAATAACTACTGCCTCCTCCTTTTCCCTTTTTCCTCCCTCCCCCTCTCTCTCCTTCTCTCTCTCCACTCCTTAATTCCCTTACACATTAAATAGACTCTACACCCAAGCTCTCTCTGCATGGTGTTATCTGTCTGTCTCCCACCCACCAGGGGACTTGCCAGGTATCTTTCTGTGAGAGATTTTGGGAAAAGTTTGAGGGAGACAGTTGTAACAGATATGACTAAAATACAATGTATAAATATATGAAATTAAAAAAAATATTTTAATATAATTTTTGTTTTGTTTTGAACTTTTTAAAGATTTACTTACTTATTTTGCATACAATGTTCTCTCTGCATGTATGCCTGCATGCCAGAAGAGTTTTCTGGAAGAGCAAGGTGTGTGCTTAGCCACTGAACCTCTCCAGCCCCAATTTATGCATTTTTTTTTTTTACCTTTCCTGCTGTTAGCCATGTGAAATGGCACTTGAACACACTTCTGAAGCACCCACTGTCTGGTGATTCATACTACATTTTCACAATTCTTTCTTTAAAACAAAATTAACCTCTCCCTATGTCCCCTCCACCTTTTATACTTTTCCTCTTTGTCTGTTCAGAAAGGGGCAGACTTCCCATGGGTGTCAACAAAGCATGGCATGTCAAACTGCAGTAAAACTAAGCACTTTCCTTGTATCAAGGCTGGGCAAGGGGACTCCGTATGTGGAAGAGAACATTCTCACAATTCTAGGCACATGTGAAAAAGAGAGCAGAAACAGAGGAGCTAGTGCTTACTTGCAAACACCATACACAATCATCACAGGAAATCTAAGTTCTGACCAACCCCATTGCAAAACTGATGCACTGATTTAGCATACATATCAAATTTAAATATTTTCCAGAATATAGAGGGGTTGTAAAATGCTATCTTTTAGACAGGACATAACCAAAGCAACTTGCAATTTATAATCTTACAGTGCAGCTGCATCTGTCTGCAATGTACCTGGCACAATACTGGGCCTGCCATGTCAACCACAGACTGTGGAGGGGTTCACAGGGCTCTATGTCCCATGTTGAATTAACGCTTACTCATAGGTTCTGGGCAATGGGAAGCTATTGCCTTCAGCTGTGCACCCACTGAGGAACCCATGAGTTTCAAACTTATAGCTCCATTATGGTTATACAGATGGTAAAAATCAATGGGTCACAAAAAACAAAGCAACACAAACAAAACAAAACAAAACAAAAACCTAAATGGGTACGGAAAAGGAACCTGCTTGGGGCATAGGGAGTGGGAAGGAGATAAAGGAGGGCAGATAGTGGTTAAAACTAAACAGAATATACTATTTATATGCAAACTGCTGAAGAACAAATTTAATAAAAGCCATTGAAAGTTTTTCCTTGTGCTGAACCACTCCTACATTCCTGAGCTATATCTTATTTGGTCATGATAAATGTAGATTTTATAATATACTTTTGGGTATTATAAAATTCAGTATTCTAATATGCTAGTATTTTGTTGAGGATTTGTGCATATATATTGATAAGAAATGTTGGCTTGTAATTTCCTTGTGATGTCTTCCTCTGGCTTTGGTATTCAGGGCAATGCTGGCCTCAAGAATGAGTTATATTTCTATCTCTTCTTTTTTTTTTTTTAAGACTTTAAGGAGGTGTTATTTGGATATGAAGTGTCCCAAAAGTTTATTTGTTGAAGGTTGGGACCCTACTGGTTAGATATGAGGGCTCTATCCTCATCAATGGATCAGTCTATTGATAAGTTCATGATTGAACAGTCTTCGTTCACTATATGCTCCTTGGTATGATGGTCTGTTTTATCATTACAGCCATGTAACATAGGGTCGAAACCTCTGAGATGCTGTGGGACAATGGCTTTTTATCCTGTCACTTGAATTATTTCTAATAAAACACTAATTGGCCAGTAGCCAGGCAGGAAGTAGAGGTGGGGCAACTACAACAGGAGAATTCTGGGAAGAGGAAAGCTCAGTCTGCAGTTGTCACCCAGATGTAGAGGATGCAGATGAGAAGGCCTCACTGATTAAAGGTACCAAGCCACATGGCTAATACAGACAAGAAGTATGGGTTAAGATGTAAAAATTAATTAATAAGAAGCCTGAACTAATAGACCAATAAGTTTATGATTAATGTAGACCTTTGTATATTTCCTTGGGACTGAATGACTGTGGGACCTGATGGGACAGAAACCTCTGTCAACACTGAGATCATAAGCCAAAATAACTTTTTCCTTCTTTATGTTGATTTGTTTAGGTAACTGTTCTTTAGATGTCTAGTAGTTCACCAGTTGAAAATCTGGTCTTGAACTCTATCAGAAGATTCTAAAAAAATTCAATTTTTTTTTAGTTGCTATAGATCTGACTTTCTATTTTACTTTGAGTCTTTTTTGGTTATTTTGTCCATTTCATCTGGGTCATATATTCTAGTGGCATACAGTTCTTTTGCTTTCTGTGGTCGTTAGCAAAACACCCACCTTTGCTCCTGATTTTCAATCTCTACATCCTCTTTTCCTCCTTGTTCCCTTTTCTGTTCTGTCTAGCTGAAGGTTTGTTAATTGTGTTAATCTCAAACAAAGTTTTAGGTTCACTGACTATTAGTTTTTATTCGCTACTGTATTATTTTTGATCTAATGGTCACAGTAATGAGAGAGCTAAGCAAAATAAATGTCTAAGACTTCTAGGTTGCACTTTCTAGTTCTTCTGAATTAAGTAAAAGAAACACCAGTTTCTCTGATATTCAGTCATCACAGTTACGGCCAATTCTACCACATGACTGATTGACTGCAAAGCACATGTATTAAACAAGTATTTTAAAATGACCACAGGTCAATAATATATTTGTCTGTATTTTTAATAAGCTAGATTACAGTTCTGGTGAGGAAAGAGATCTGTGGGTCAATCATTAAACCATGCTGCAGTTACTACAAGAATTCAAATGCAGCACAAAAGGAGCAGAATTACTGAGCACTGTGAGGTGTGATCTTGCACATGTACTTATACACCCTAGAACAGAAGCTATAGATGAGAGGATTAAAACAGGAGGAGAGGAAATGTTCCATCCAGTGTTATATAGCTAGTAACTGGTCAGGCTAGAACTTAAAACTGGATCATGTGGCTAGAGTTGGCCTCTCTTGGGTCATTTATAAAACAGGTAGTGGTGTGATGGTTAATTCCAACAGTCAACTTCATGTGAACATGCATTAAGAGTTCAAGGACATCTTGTTCAGGGAGAAAGCCCTTCATGGATTTCTTCTCTCCAGTAAACAAACTTGAGTGTGACAAGCAAGTCTCTATCTGCTCCCTACTAAGAATGAGAATTGAGACTACTAGACTGGAAGCACAGGCAGTTTTCATTTTTTACCAGAGTTTTAATAAGTTAGCCGTCCTATCAGGCTTGCAGAGGAGAAAATTCATCAGGAGTCATAAAGGTCAAGTGATACCTTCAGTCCCTCCAATTCATTTTCCAGTTGTTTAGAATAATGCTCGCTCTGCTCACGCAGCTTCCTGTCCTTTGATGCTTCAGCAATTAGAGCTTCAGTGTGAACTTCCAGCTTCAAAACAAAAAGGGCAGATTTCATAGTTAGCTTTGCAAATTACTTTTCCTTAAGAAGATTTATAGCTCGAATGGTGAAATTCACATAACTATTGATCAAAACTTAAAGAATGGAATGCATATTATTTCACTAGTCTCTAAGTGCAGTTTAAAGCATGACTCCACAGATACTATGGAATTTGCCTGGCTACTGACCTCTTTCTTGGCTCTTTCTGCTCTGCGCAGCTCCTGCCTTAAGCTCTCAGCTTTTTGCATCACCAGGTCCACCTCTTCTTCCTTATCTCGGACATGGCGAGCAAGTTTCTGTTTTTGAGTGTGCAATTCTGTTAGTCGTTCATTGATCTCCATGAACTCCTGCATGGCCAGTTTCCTCTGACAGTGTGCGTCTTTCAGCTCTTTGGATTGGTTTTTTAATCGCTCACTAGCCTGGACTAGTTCCTATAGTTTTTTAAAAAGAATACACGTTACCAAATCTGCAACCTAGAGACCACATTTGGTCATGAAAGTAGCTATTATTAAGTCATGAAGAGCCACAATTATTAACCTCAAGACAACTAAAGGAAATTCACTACTTTTAAAGACATTAAGGGAACGATGCCTTGTTTAACTTCTCAAACTCATTTTAAAATTTATTTTTATTTATGTATATGCTTTTAGCCTGTATTACAAATGTGCACCATTGCACATTTGAGTCCAGAAGAGGGCATCAGAAATATGAAACTGAAGTTATATGCAATTGCTGGCTCTCACATGGGTGCTGGGAACTGAACTCTGCAAGAGCAGCTAGTGCTCTTAGTGAGCCTTTCCAACACCAACTCTCAAATTTTTATGCTAACATATTATGCTAAAATGAAAGCACAAAGAGGCAGCTGAATGAGCAGAATGAAAAAATATAAACTATGATATTCAAAATAATTTGCAAAATTTAATAAATATTTGGGAGATTTTTCTAATTAAATTGAATGACCACAAATAATAAATAATACACAGTTGCCTTTTTCTTACTGAGGAAAATAACCCTTAGACCAATAACAAGGAGAAACATCTCTAAATTTGAGATTTCTAATTTAGAGGTGCTTTGCAGACTCAGGTCAGTGCAATTGTAGGAAGGAATTTCAAGGGAATTTGGCTTATTCAAACATTAACTGCAAATGAACATAAGCCTATACCCACAGATTTTCAAAGAACCAAAGAACAAAAGAACTATAAGGTATCAATGGCAAGAATAGGAAACAAAATAAACATCAGAAGTATTTGAGCATCATTAAATACTGGCATAAGACGGATATGTATGAGACATTGGAAGAAATAAAAGTAATTATCATAAAAATAGGGAAATGAGAAAAGACTAATAAAAATTACCACACAATGTTTATTAAAGAATCTGTAGGCCCACTTAGACATTAAAAAATGCATTAAAATTAAAAGCACACATATATGTTATATAGAAATCTTTATATTTATGAAGCATGAAAAAGGAATTCAAACCTAAACCCAGAAATGTATAAAAATGAAACTGGAAAACACAACAACAACAAAACTCTCCAAAAAAATTTGGGGGGGGGGGCTGGCAAGACGGCTCAGCAGTGAAGAACACTGATGGTCATCCAGAGGACCTGGTATGATTTCCAGTACCCATGTAGGGCAGCTCACGACCATCTCTTAACTCCAGTTCCAGAAGAAAGAATGCCTTCTTCTAGCTTCCATGGGCACTAGGCATACAGTGACAGCAAAACACTCATACATGAAAGATTAAAAATAGACAAAGAAATAAAGAATTTGGGAGGCCAGTGCGATGGCTCAATGGGTAAAGGCACTGTGTTTGATCCCTGGGCCCTGCAAAGTGGACAGAACTGACTTCTGCAAATTAATAATCTGAGCTCTATACCCATGCCACAGAAGGTGTAGACATATGCATACAGGCATGTGTGCATACATGCACACATACGAAATACATTTTTTTAAAAAAAAGTAATTTGTGATTGGAGTAAATCATTTATATTCTACTCTCTGAAAAACAAAACGAGATTATCAGACTCAAAAGAGACAAGTAGTAACATAAAGTGTGGAAAAACACTCAAAGAGACAAGAAAATGATGCTGTAACTCAGAAAAAGTACTTTTGAAGTATATCAAAACCACTACCAGATCTGCACTAAAGGAAACTCTACACTTGTATTTCAGGAAAAAGGAAAACAGCTCTAGAGAGACAATGGAATACAAAGGAAACAGAATGTTAAGATCCTGGCATACATGGATGTGAAGAAATATGTGCAAGATTATATTATTTTAAATATCTGATTTACAGTTACTAGCAAATTTACATACTAAATATCTGTGGAGACCGCACATAAATTAGAAGGAAGTAGCAGAATTAAAGGCCCTTAAGAATTTTGGTGACTAGTTTAATACATTTAGGTTTTGTTAATAAGCATAGTAAAATTCAAATGCAAATACTCCAAAACCAGAATTGATAGAAGAAAATCATGAACAAAAAAACAAAAGTAAGAAATGATTTAGCAAAACAAAAAAATATTCTAGAGATTGGTTTCATAGCAATACACACATACTTAACACTGAGGAATTATGCCTCAAAAGGGTTCATATGAGAAAAACTATGCCACATGCATTTTAGCACAATTATATTTTGTTAAAATAAGGACACAAAAGGAGCACAGCATGACAAGTACAAGGGAAAAATGAAACAGAAACAAATCCTTATACATTAGTAGTCAAAATAGATACAATGGACCAAACTCAGCAGATAAAGGTAGTTTGTTATACCAGATAAACAAATCTAGACCTTAGCAGAAAAGCATTGTTAGGAATAGGAAATACTACTAAACAATCACAGAACTCAATAGAACAGGAAGTCAAACCATTCTAACATTGAGTGAATTCTGTAAGGCAGTCTTAAAGTACATTGAAAAGAAATTGCCCAAACTAGAGAACATTAGAAAATAAATCGCCACAACAATAATTTCAATTTCCTAATCATTAATTATCAACAAGTCACAATAGTGGCTATAAAGACAACCTGAAGTAGAGCCCACACGTATAAACCCAGCATTTGGGAGGGTTAGCGTGAGTTTGAGGTCAGCCTGGTTTATGCACTGAGTGTAAGGGTATCCTGGGCTACACAGTGAGACTCTGTCTTACCATACCCTCCACCCCAAAGGGTTTGAAAAGATCTAGTAAGCTTTCTATGTATAGAAGTTTGCACACTGTCTTGGGAATATATACTCTTTTCATTAATATATACTGAATATTTTTTTAAAAGAACACTAAAGTCTAAGTCATGAATCAAAGCTCAGTAGATTTCAAACAGATACAAAAAGGACATGCTTCAAAGCACTGCAATGAAATAATAAACAAAAAATGATATAATTTTCTATAGGGAAAACTTTAAGATACATTTATAAGGAAATAATTTGTCAATGAGAAAAATGGTCACTACAAACATATTTAAAACTAAAAAAATTCAAATTAAAAAGCAACACATTGTTTCTTATATACTAAAACTTGGTGTTGCTATAAAGCTATATGGAAAACTGTTGTGGAATATTATTTTAAGATGTGTTACATTTGCTTATGCTGTGGAATATTTGTTTAATGATGCAAAAATGTGTTGCATTCTTTTAGGTTATTTGTTTAACTCTGTGAAGTTGTGTTACTTTGTCTGTCTAAAACACCTGATGGTCCAATAAAGAGCTGAAAGGCCAATACGAAAGCAGGAGAAAAAATAGGCAGGACTGGCAGTCAGAATAATCAGGAGGAGAAATCTGGGAAGAGAAAGTCAAGGAACAAGAAAAGGAGAAGGATAAAAGGCCATCAGGGACCAACCACCCAGCTACACAGTCACCCATGGAGTAAGAAGAAAATAAAAGTATATAGGATAAAGAAAAAGGCACAAAGACAAAAGATAAATTGCATAGTTTAAGAAAAGCTGGTAAGAAACAAGCCAAAGTAAGGCTAGGCGTTCATAAAAAAATATTAAGCCTCTGTGTATTTATTTGGAAGCTGGCTGGCAGGTTTCTAAAACAGTCAAAGAGCAAATAAATAAACAAACGAATAAATAAACTCAACTACAGGACACACAGTGTGAAATAGAAAGAAAAAAGAGGGCCAATTTCAGAGTCCACATAAGAAATAGAGAATCTTCCCAATAAGAAGGAAGTACACTGTCTTACTAACACGATCTTATATTAAAACAGTCAAGAAAAATAAAATAAAAAGTGTAGGCCAACTTAATTCATAAAAACTTTATGATGAGCAAATAATTTTCAGTGATGTATAAAATCCCTAGATATGTTACACTCACTATATATAGAAATGCTAGCTCTACTACTTCCTATTGCCAATGACCCTGAAAATGTTAACACCTCAGTATTCAGTCTCAGTCAAACAGGAATAATAAAATAATACATAACCCATGGATTGTTGTGAGGATAAAATGACATTTTATACATATGTGTGTGTGTATATAAACTTACATGAATGACACTTAAAGCAGTCTATTAAACATAATCTACATAAACATGACCAATGCTATCATATTATCATTAGAAAATGATACATGGGTAATTCAGACTAAAAAATGTGTTTCATATTAGAAAAACTCTGTTACTACAATTCACTGATGTAGTATTTCCCTCTGTATGCTACGAATATGTTTTATTACCATTGGTTAATAAAGTAGCTGCTTAGGCCTATGGCAGGGCAAAACATTAGTAGGCAGAAAAACTAAACTGAATTCAGGGATAAAGGAGACGGGTTCAGGCAGACACCATGTAGCTACCAAAGGAGAAAGACACCAGAACCTTACCAGTAAGCCACAGCCTTGTGGCGATACACAGACTAATAGAAATGGGTTAATTTAAGATGTAAGGGCTAGTTAATGAGAAGCCTGAGCTAATAGGCTAAAGAGTATGTAATTAATATAAGTCTCAGAGTGGTTATTTCACAAGCAACTACAGGAGCTAGTGAGTTGGACCTGGTGGGTGGAGCGAAACCAGTCCAGGAGAACCAGTGGAATAGAGGATATTTTTAGCTATAATTCAGCATACAAAGTTTTAAAGCAGAATCATATAAATGGTATACAGGAATGAACATTGTGCAAACACAATATTTATTCTTAATAGTAAAAATTGAATAGCAAATTAAAAATAGAAAGCAATTTCCTTAACTCATTGAAAAATATATTCTGAAACATATATAGCAAGCATTAGTAGTAAATTTTTTGAGGCATTTTCTCTAAAATCATTAACAGGTTGATGACTGATGTTACTATTTCTATTCAGCATTATTCTGAGGTTCCAGCTAACATAGTAAGCTTACAAAAGATGGAAACCATAAAAACCACAAGTTAGAAACAAAGTAGTTATTACTTATAGAAAATTTTGAAAAAAATCTAAAACATGTTGTTAGTAAGAGTTCAGCAGTGTTAGACAAGAACTGCTGACAAAAGCCAGAAAGAAAACATAAAGTTTAAAGATGTTTAAAATATGAAATAATAGAATAATAATTTAAAGAAAAGCAAGTAATTTCATAAAAGATCACATTTTGTTTGTTTATTCATTCTTGTTATTGAAATGGGGACTCATGGATCACAGACTGACCTTAAACACCAGGTAGTCAAGGACTTCCCTAAAGTTCTGATTTTCTTGCCTCCATCTCCCTTGTAAAGGAGTTACAGGCATCAGCACGTCTGTTTAGGCAATGCTGGGGACTGAACACAATGCTCTGCACATGCCAGGCCAGCACTCTACCAACTGAGCCACATTATAAAATTTAAATAACTTTAAATATATGGAAAGATATCACACTGGTGGATGAGAGACTATGGCACTAGACAGAAACAGCTTTCATATTTTGCACAATTAGCCTAACAAATGTCACTGAAACTTGGGACTTTTCCTAATTGTGAGTCATAGAAAGTAATTAATAACAAATTTCAATACTGTGAAAATTTATTTACCTTCTGAAGGCACTTAAAGGTGAGGTTGCATGTGCCCTGAACTATGGGGACTTTTTTGTGAAGTTGATTATTTGGGGACTTAACTGAGGCCTAGAATAGTTAAATTTTAAATTTTATTTCAAAGGCACAGAGAAGAGGTCCAAGACATTTCTCTTCATACTTCCTAGGAGATTCAGAAAAAAAAAGGAGTGGAAAGCAATATTGCCTTTTTCTTCTATATTAACACCTGAACAAACATTTTGGAGGTTACTCTTCTATAATAAAAACTGATGTTATCAGATGGCAATCTGCTGTGTTCTTATTTAAGTGTATATTCAAAATAATAATAAACATACATGAACTTTAATGTAATATAGTTAATTATTCCATAATTAATCAGTGATGAAATATAATTTCAATTAAAATTCCATCACAATTTTCAAGACTAATTTAAGAGGGAATTTGCTATATGATGGAGGTGCCAATGTACAACAGAGGAAAGAACTATTCTGTCCACAAGTAACTGGTTAGCCATATTGGAAAAAGGAAAACTGAATTCTTACAACACACTGTCAGACAGCTAGTTAAATATTAGCAGCATTTATAATTCTCAGTATTTTTTTCTGTGCTAATACATATTAATGGTTAATCATGAGTAAGATAACTATCTCCCTTTATTTGTATGTCCTGTGTAAGACTGAGAACTATTTAAATAATTTTAAAAATGCTGACTTGGTCCTCATATGTTAGAACTAATTGGAATTAACCCCTCCCTCATAACCAGTAGCAAGACTTTTGATCACTGGTCAAAAAAAAATAAGGTCTGAGTCCTATCTCTAGCTCTGGTTGGCTGGATGCACATTTAGAATTTACAAGGCTATTATATGGCTTAATGCCTTCTCAGAAAGAACAAGAATGAATTTCCAACCTCTTCCAGAAGAGACAATTAAAACGGACCTTTCAGTCACTTGTACAATGAAAACACCCTTCAGAAAAAGCTGTTTAAAAAGACTTCAGAAATAGTATAAAGCCTACCTAAAAGTAGGCTGACGCAATGGCCTCTTTGACCATTGTCAACTCTCATCCCTCGAGCATGTGCAATATAATACATTCCACCCATCTTCTACCTATGCTGTGTGTCTGTTTCATAACAATTCTTTCCACAGAGATCACAAGGACCAGGAACCAAAGAAAGCACTGAGTGACTACAAGGTAAGCAAAAATGAGTTTTTAGTGTTTAGAGACATAATATCAAACTAATAAAAATCATAATAAATATCAAAGATCAGGCCTAAAATTAAGGATATAATTTAGAAGATTTTTTTTAAACCTCTGATTTCTTAATAGTGTATGAGCCAGCAAATGCACTAACTTAAGTGTATTAACAAATGTACGTTACACATACAAGCTCTGGTTAGTCAGAGAAGAAACAGAAAAGCCACTTACAGGTATCTTCACATTAAGTGAAGGATATTGGAAAATTTCAAGAATTCTTATAAATAACAAAAGCAACCAAGTAGAAAAACACGTACATTTTAAAGGCATTTTGTAAAAGAAATAACATAAAATGATGAAGAGACATGTAGTTCTTTAATATCTTTTATATAATCATTTAAAAAATTAGACAAATGCACATTAGACTACATGGTTATGTTAGACCAAAGTCTAAATACAGATGAGATTGATTAAGACAAATAAATGCAGCATATGAAACATCATTGAACATAGAAACTTCTGTACTATATGAAAGAATATAAAAGTTGGAATACTAGAAAACATTTTAGCATTACCATAAAAACAAATTTTTTGCTAAACTAATTAAAAATAAGCAGAGGACCTAAGTGGACAGTGCTCCAAGGAAACATACAAAAGTCAACAGCTATATAAAGAGATAGTCAAGATAACTAACCACCACTGAAATGAAAAATCAAAGAAAGAATTAGTTATCACTTTACAACTGTCAGAATGGTTATTACAAAAAGGGCAAAAGCAAATAAGCACTGGTTAGGATGCAAAAAAAAAAAAATGAAATTGCTTTCCCTCCTGCCAGTAGGCCATTACCAAATATTTATTCATTATTTTATTATTATACCTTACTGGTATAACGCTTCTTTTTGACACTAACATATTTTCAAAATATACTAATAGGATTGTTAACACTAAAATGTACTCAAAATTGTCAAAAATAAACTTGTTCCCAAAAATCAAGATACCGGATTTTAGTGTTTACTATGTTAACTAAGTTTAACTGTATAATACTACCAGTACAAAGAAACTCATAAACCACTAATATTACTACATTATTATTATAGGAAAGAGAACTGCAGTCATAATTGCCAAGTGCTATTATACTGTCCCCAGGTTTAGATGCATCTACACAAACCAAAACTCAATATTGCAGTAAGTAGAAACAAAACTGTGCTCATCTAATTCAATTTCATCTGTAACAGCTCCCTTATTAGCATAAGCTTATTTTATTTTAATTCCATTTTTTTAACTGGTAGTAAGACTTATAATTTACCCCCATAAGGACTTCATTATACATTAATCATTACTTTGTATATCAAATCATTAAATAAAATTTACTCTGTGCAGAAACTACTACCTACACTGCTGTTAGTCCTAAGTTGGCTGTTGTTAATGACATTCATGGTGCTTACCAGCATGTGGTTCAAGTCTTTTCCTACTTTCTTTTGGGCTGTTCTATAATCTTAATTATGAATAGATTTTTGTGGTAATGCTTAGTACCATTTAAATGTTACACAAAGTTCTTATGAAAATGACTAGCTCCCCCCCCATACTGCTTTAAAAAATGACATTTAAAGAATGAATAAATTATGGAGGAGATTTTAAATTATAACCTATTAATGTTCATGCCAAAAAATTATAATAAAATATATGATGAACATGTGCCAGATACATGACATTAAACATTAGAAAATATAAATTAAAACTAAAATAAAATATCATTTACAATCTAAAATCTGTACTTAAAATTTTTATAGACATTAGATTCTACTATTTGTTTTTCTTATGTCTTTTTCAGTAACATTCCTTTCTATGTCAAAGCTTTTAACTTTCCAAACAAACAAAAAAGTTTTTATTTTAAAGCCTCAAGAATTTGAGTTCTTTATTACTAGCTAATGAAGAATGTTGATATGGGATTTCCCTCTATATGCTGTAAATGTGTTTTATTACCACTGGCTAATAAAGAAGCTGCTTTGGGCTTTATGACAGTGCAGAACAGAACAAGGTGTGAATTTCAAGCAGAGATAGAGGAGAAAAGAAGGTGGAGTCAGAGATATGCCACACAGCCACCAGAGGAGACAGACTCAGGAACTTTACCGACAGGCCACAACCTCATGGTAAAATATAAAATAGAAATAGATTAATTTAAGCAGTAAGAATTAGTTAACAAGAAGCCTAAGCTATTGGCTTAATTAATAACATTTCTGTGTTATTATTTGGGCCTGGCTGGCCAGGAAACACACAAGCAGCCTTCATCTACAGAATGTCATACACCAAAATAATTACTAAAAATGTAGGGGACTGAGAGATGGCTCAGTGGTTAAGAGCACCTACTACTCTTGCAGAGGACCGAAGTTCAGTTCCCAACACATGTATTAGGCATCTTACAACTGCTTGTAACTCCAATGCCTGGGGATCCAATGCCTCTGGCCTCAACAGGCACTTACACTTATGTGCACATGCCACCCCACAGATCCACATAGTTGAAAATAAAATCAATCTTTAAAAAAAATTAAACCATTTAAAACTAATGTTTTAGGTTAGCATAAAAATTTCATTTCAAATTTCTATAGAAAATACATAGTCATTTATTAGGAATACTTCCAATACTCTAATTATAAAAGATGAAACATGTAGAAACAGCTGTAAGGACCCATTCATATATGCATACCTTATTTAGCTCATCTCTTTCCTGCTGCAAAGTTTTGATTTGTTTTTCAAAAGCCTTGATTTGCCTAAAAGCATCATCTAGCTCTCGTCTCACAGAATTAGCTTCTTCAAGTTGTTGCTCCAAACGATTCACTTCTAAAAAAAACCCAAAACTTTAATTCAGATATATAATATAAACAAATGAAAACCAGAATAATAACAGTAATTACTAAGAGCAATTTTTATTTCCCCCATCCTTTGGATTAAAAGGTATATTGGTAATTCTTTTCATTTGGGAAAATTATATAAAACAGATTTAGCAAATTCTGAATATGTTGCCAAAGACTATGCAATTGGAAAGTTACTGCCAAATAACAGGATTTGTTCTAAAATCAAAGTTATTATTAAACTATTTTAAACTAATATACAAAATGAGCCTATATTTATTAAAATCAAGACAAACATTCAACTTGCATCAATTATATATAATATTTTAGATGCCAGTACTTCAAGCTATTGGATTTTCCTAAGAGACAGCTGTCATTCATACTCCTTTATGAAAGAAAGGTCTGCTTTAAGAACACTACAAGTATGTTATTGTGAGATGCTAACGACAGACTTTAGACTCACAGTAGTAAATCTATGTGCATCAGTATGCACCTTCAGGTCCCATATAAAGAAAACTTAATTTTCTTAATTATATATAAATATATAATTTATATATATAAATATATATATGTTATATATATAAACTTAATTATATATAAATATATAATACTTAATAACCACATTCAAACTTTATTTTGTCTTCACATACAGCATGGATAGCTAAAAACTTTAATTTCCATTATGAAGCCTACAATACTAATCATTTAAAAATACAAGAAATAAAGCATGTGGGTAGTCTAGAGCTTCACTGAAAATGTTGAGAATGGCTAGTCTAACTGCATACAAGTTTCCTGAGGTGGACAGAGATTAGGGCTGGTCCAGAGGCTTCCTTAAACTAGTTATGTGATGCTTTCATTTATAAGTTAATTAGAACAAAGTGAATTTATTTAAATTTTTAAAAATGGATGAATATTAACAGTGGAAATGAATAACTGTATAGCTGCTATGGGAAATGGAATAGGAATTCTTTTGAAAAAAAAACAAAACAATATATGATCTACAATTTCACTATGGGGTATATACCCCAAAACAGTAAAAATAGGACCTTTCCAGAAAGTGTAAATTTGTGTTCATAATTGCATTATTATCCACGGCCAAAAGGCAAAAGAAACCTGCATATCCAATGACAGACAAAGGCAAAAGTAAAATCTATTAAATGAATATAAACGGAACATTGCTCAGCATTTTAAAAGTAAAAAGTAGACATTTCTAATATAAACACCCTACAACATGGATGATCCTTGAGAACATTACACCAAGTGAAATAATCCAAACACAAAACAACAAATACTGGATAGTTCTATTATATGAAGTTTCTGAAAGAGTCAAATTTATGGAAGAATAAAGTAGAGGCTTGAGGCAGTAGAAAAATAGTTATTGTTTCATTTTGTTTCTGTTTTGAGATGATGAAAAAGACAAATGGTGGTAACAATTGTACAAGATGTGAAAGAGCTCAATATTTCCCAATGAAATATTAAAAATTGTTAAAACAATACATTTCAATAGAAATATTTTACCACAATTTAAAAAGTTAAAAGATGAGGGAGGGAGGGACGAAGGGACGGGGGGAGGGACACGTATTAGAGAAACGGAATGAAAGAGTACAAGAGTGACTATTACATATCCAACACAAGAAAACCTGTAAGGTAAGAACAATTCCAAAACAAGAGGACTAACCCTTTCTCTTAACAGTATTTTTACGAATTTTACTAATCTTATTCTGCCATTGGGAAATGATTTTTAATGTGTAAGTCAAGAGCAGCCGCACAAGTGTGGAATTTAGAGGAGAGTGGGGATGAAGCAAAGGCAGGACCAGGAGGAGCTGGTATAACACATTGCCCAGATAGGATGGTACTCTTCATGGGCTATGTAGAGAATAAATATGTCAGGTATGCCTGTAGTAATACAATTAGACAGAAATCTTAGGGAAAGGGTAGAGAGGATTTCAAAGAAGTGACGGTTTACTCATCAACAAATACTGATTTGGGTTTTTTAATGAATCAAGAACAATCCTATAGGTACTTGGAACATACTAGTGAATGAAATGACAAACGTAAACCAATTTAAAGCTCCTGTTTTCAAAGAGCTTATGCTCCTGTGGTGAGGTGAGGGAAGAGAATGTACAGACACAAACATGTTAAGGATGAGACATGTTATAGATTATCAGGGATTATAAAAAGTGTTTCCAGCTAATGAACAAGCATACACAGAGAGAAGACAGATAGATGGCTGACAGGTAGACAAGTGAAAGAAGAGAGAAATAGAATGGAAGGTGGGGTGACTCATATGTAGAAAGGATAAACATTACATGGGATCAAAAATAATTTGACATGGGTAGACTCAGGGTATAATAAAGGGGGTAGTTCCTAGAAACAAAGCTGAAGAGACAAACACATGCATGACAGTGAAAGACTCTAATCAGCATTGAGAAATTCTTACTTTTTCCTAGAGGCCAGGAGAATCCTCTGAAAATAAATGCATGCAAATGTAAGAAAAACAGATCATATCTTAAAAAGCTAACTCTGATAACTTTTATTTTTTGGGAATGATAATTGATATGTTTCCCATTAAGAACAAATGAAAACCCTGGGCATTCTATTTAAAAATGAATAAATGTTCAATAAATAAGTAGTAAGAACTATGAAATGTGGTGAGGGAAGCTGGAACACTGAGGCCTGAGGAATATAGCAGTGAGCTCCCAGGCTTTTCTATTCATGTATCCCAGAATTGGACCTTAATAAGATGGAAACCTAGAAAAGTCAACACATATAAGGAACACAGTCCCCCCAAATTCTGATCTTCTTGGCCAAAGAATCAAGACAGGACTGTCAGAGACTGTTAGCGAGGAAGAAGACAGTACTTTCACACAGAGAAAGAGATAAGGGCCATGGGAAGAACTGAAAATAATTTTTCTGTGTTTTAGAGAGAACAGCAGCTAGATTTTAAAAGAAGATTAAGGGTTAAAACCACAGAGTCTGGAATACTAAGGAAAATTAATTAGAAGGCATGTAGCCTGGTATAAAATAGTCAAGCAGATAAGAGACAAATAGGCTAACCTCCATGAGATTTCCTTTGGGAAAAACAAGCAAGGCACTATTGTTTATTACATAGTCTTGCTTTTAGTACACTGTTTCTAATGCAAATAACGTGTAATAGACTAAGTAAAAAGAAAGAATGGCTTCTAAAGTGCTGGACCTGTTTCAGGAAGGAAACCCCAGACCATCCCACAGATAAAGAGCTAACCAATAACACTCTAGATACATTTTAATGGCTCTGAAAACAAATATAGTTTAATATAATAAACAGTTAGCAAGACACCAGCAAGGTCAAAAAGTTGTAATGGTATTCAAGTAACAACAGCTAATAACCAGTCAAGGTCAATAATTAAGCCAGAGTCAGAGATGGATAAATGTGGGCTTCAACTATTCCTAACTGTGTTTGGGCAAGCACGAACACAACATCATGATCTCCTTGGTTAGTTCAGAGAGTACATGAACAGAGCATATGGATCTTCTATTGGTTTAACTTTTGATGACCCCAAGCAATTAAGCAATAAAAAAAGAGATAACACCTGTCTTTGTCCAGTTTCTGCCACTGCCCTATAAAACAACTGGAAAAAGGAAATTCAACAACTTTTTCTATTCTCTGGTATTCTTCCCAACTTTTGGAAATTCATCTCATTTTTCCAGAATAAAGAAAAATAAAGGCTTGATAAAGGCTGTTGCCATATTGTTTATGTACAAGAATGATCTACCCTTAAATTCCATTAGGATGAAACAAAACTCAGAGCTACTACCCCAGCTTGATCTTTGATGACCCTAAGTTTCTGACACCTTAGGTCTCCGCATCACATTAAGTGGGCCATAAAATGCTCCAAAATCATTAACAACAAATAAATAAAACAAACAAAAAACTCTTAGAAAACTACTGTAATATTTGACTTAAACATCACAGCAACCTACATGACATAGTGGTGAACACCTTTAATCCCAGCACTTAGGAGGCAAAGTCAGGCAGATCTCTGAAACTTCTGTATTCCTATGCTGACCCCTGTCAACCATGGAAGCTGAATTTGAATTTCCAACTGAAGCTACAATGAGATTCCAAAGCACACCCACAAAGGTGACATTTTAAAACAATAACAACAATAACAAAACCAAAAACAACTGGTAAAGATTATGAGGTTCCCAGAGTGTCAGTGGAGAACAAATTGGGAAGTATACTTCTGTACCACCTGGCAATGAAGAGATATCAGTGTGACTAGGAACCACAACAACCAACATGCAAGATATTCCTAAGGGTGTAGTAGTGGCACTCACACCTTAGCAGCAACCAATAGCTATCTAATTAGACTTAAGGCCAGCTCAACAAGAGGGAAATCACATATGTCTTAATAATGAATAATGTAACTAAATAGAAAACCAACAGGTCTATAGAAAATCTCAAATATATTCTCCACCAATGGGATCTAATAAATATATAATACAAACTGTGTAGAATAGCAGGAATACACATTTATCATAAGTGCCCAGGGCATATAGATTAAGATAACCATATCTTAGGCATAAAACAAAGAACTGAAATCATAAAGAATACTGCAAAACTGGTTAGAGAAATATGGAAGCTAATTCTTCAGACACTCAAAGTAAATGACATACTTATCAATTCGAATCAAAGTGAAAAAATTTAAAACATTTGAGCAAAAATGAACATACAACATATTGAAATTTTGTAGGGCACAGTAATGTCAGTACTAAAAGAGAAATTTATAGCCCTCAGTATATATATGATTTGATACTTGATGTTTATATATATGCCATTCTCTTGTCTGCAGAAGCCCTTTTCTTCTTCAAATATCACATCTACTTCCCACTCACATATATAATTTTCCAGGCAAATTCTAACACTAAATTAATTATGTTAACTATGGCTAGAATAGTTAACATAATTAATTAATCTAGCCATAGTTAAAGGTCTTTGAGCCTATAATTCGTGATCCTAGAAAAGCTAAATAAGAAGGTGAACCTGAAGAAAATCATATGGTTATCCTCCTGGATATTGGAAGTAGACAAGATTGCCAGGCAAACTTGAGTGCATGGGGGGTGGGGGGTGGAAGTAAGGGGAAATGGTTAGAGATAAGGGAGAGGGGGAGGATTGGGGATGGCTTGGGGGAATGGGATGGGGGGGAGGGAGGAAGGATGGATATGGGAGCAGGGAAGTATATATCTCAACTAAGGGAGCCATTTTAGGGTTTGCAAGAGACTTGATTCTGGAGGGGTTCCCAGGTCCAAGGAGAGGTCCCCAGATTGTTCCCTGGGCAGCAGAGAAGAGCGTGCCTGAACTGGCCTTGGCCCATAACCATACTGATGAATATTTTGCATATCACCATAGAACCTTCATCTGGCGATGGATGGAGATAGAGACAGAGACACATATTGGAACACTGGACTTAACTCCCTAGGTCCAAATGAGAAGCAGAAGGAGGGAGAACGTGAGCAAGAAAGGCAGGACCAGAGGGAACCTTCATCTGACGATAGATGGAGATAGAGATGGAGACCCACACTGGAGCACTGGACTGAGCTCCCAAGGTCCAAATGAGGAGCAGAAGGAGGGAGACCATGAGCAAGGAAATCAGGACAGTGAGGGGTGCATTCACCCTCTGATACAAGGGGACTGATCGAATGAGAGTTCACCAAGGCCAGCTGGACTGGGACTGAAGGAGCATGTGATCAAACCGGAGTTTCTGAATGTGGCTGACATGGGGGCTGACTGAGAAGCCATTGACAATGGCACTGGGTCTTGTTTTGTCTGCATGTACTGGCTTTTTGGGATCCTAGTCTGGTTGGATGCTCACCTTCCTAGACCTGGAAGGAGAGGGGAGGAACTTGAACTTCCCACAGGGCAGAAAACCCTGACTGCTCTTAGGACTGGAGAGGGAGGAGGAGAGGGAGTGGGGGGGAGGAGAGGGAGTGGGGAGAATGGGAGGGTATGGGGAGGAAGTGGAAATTTTTATAAACAAATAAATAAATAAATTTAAAAAAATTAATTATGTTAGTAATCCTTGTTCTCTCTAGGTGGGTGTGTTTTCTCTGTATTCTCTAAGTAACTTTTTTCTACTTTTCTTAAGGCATCTTCACCTGTGTGGCAATGGTGACTTACATATTTACTTTCTAGGTCAAATTATGAACTCCATGAAACGAAAACTAACTTTTATTTGCCTTTTCTTCAATGCCATATAATTCATAACACATAACATCAACAAGACTCAATAGACAGGTAAGCATTGAGTAAAACCATTTCTTAAAATCTACTAAATTAATAATGAACCTCAGAACATCACCTGCTACTTGTTTCCTTAGCTTTTCAATCTCTTCTTTCAGGCTTTTGATTTCTAAATCTTTGCTTGCTGTTAGTGGACCATCAACAGTTGAATACTGCAAAGCCTGAACAGTCTGTGTTGACTCTAAAAGAAAAAAAGAATTAAAGAAAAAAATCAGAGACTTAATTTTTTAAAAACTAGTGTCAACATATCTCTACACATTTTTAAAAATAGTTTCACTAATCAGAACATCTACTCATTGAAAAAAAACTGCTTAAGAACACATTAAAGCATACAGTTTCATCGTGTCTGTTTAAGTTTGTAAGTAACATATCCAAATCCATAGAGTTGAATGACTCAACTTTCTATAAATGAGATTTGAGGCTTGAAGTACTATTGATCAACTGTGACAAAAAATTAACTATCACAGACTTCTGTGATTTTTTTCCTAGCAGAGACCATCATCTTCAGAGTAAAAAAAATCATATTTCATATAACATGAAGAACTGAATAAGATATGAAGAAATGTTTAGATGTACACAGTGTATGAACATGGAGACCTTCTGGATTTTACATAGGAAATTAAAGGACCAGCTATAGGTGATTACATTATCAATTTAGTTAAAACATTTGATAGAAACAGAGATCAACTTATCTTGAAGTTGTATGTAGAAAATGAAATGTAAAAAAAGAAATATGAACACTATAATAAGGCTTATTTCCCAGGTATAAGCAACAGACACAGAAGAACATTTTATATCAGAAATGAAACCATCATTTGTCCTAAAACAGCTTTTCTGCTATTTAGGAAAGTGCTCCAAAATAAGGCCCCTCCTCTTAGTGTAGTTCTTGGTGAATTAACACAAATCACACACATAGGTAAAATATGTCATGACCCTGACATTTATGGTCACTGATAAGCATTTCTTGGCCTGAATAAAAAGTATAAGATATACTACATCATACATCTGATCATAACTTTCATATCTAAAAAATATTTTTATTTAGGTTAAATACATATTAAAATTGATCCTGTTGTATTTATTTGGAAAAGAACATTCAAAATTAGTTTATTTAAAAGACACTCAAATTCAGGAGTTGGAAGACAGCTTAGTCAACACAGTTTGTTTTTCCCAAATACCGTAACTCATGTGTAACAACACTCTCTTAGAAAAAAATCAAAGAACTCAGACATCAAAACCACACTAAATACTGGGGTATAGAAAGCCCTTATTTGTAATGAAATGGAACAGGAACGGCTATTGCTCTAATGTTCCTTTTGTAACCAGTAAAAATCTACTAAATAATTTTGAAATATAAAATTAAGCACTTAAAAAATGTTGTCTGTGAAACCACTATGGAACTGTGAAAGCAAAGACCAAGTAAAATGAACCATAGAGGAGTAAATCATTCTAAGATGAAAGGCAGTCTTAGCAGCTCTAACATAGAGCTTTGTCCTGGTTGAAGTTTGACTTAAATTGAGGGATTTTCAACTTTTCTTTTTTGGAGGAGTGTTTTACATGTGGGGGTACACATGTCATTGCACTCACACAGAAGACAGAGGACAGTCGTCAACCATCAGTTCTCTCATTCTACCACAGGGGTTCCAAGGATTACACTTGAGTCGTTAGGCTTGTCAACAGGTGCCCTTTCTTACTAGACCATCATGCTAGTCCCCTAAAATTGAGGACTATTATGCTGAGAAAACCACCAAGTCTTCTAGAAAATGTGGGGCTAAGGAGTAGGATGTTGAGAGAAGGCATTCTTGTCCTATTAGTATAACTACGCTATTTGCATCAAGTCAGGGACAATCTCCTCACCAAGGTATTTATTTATTGTTTCTAGATTTGGAAATAGTAAGACAAGGAAGGTGAAGACTGGAACAAATTTCCCATAGTTATGAGTAAAGAAGAAAGAGAGCCTACCAGGCTCTACCTAATCCTCCCTTCACATCTGACATTAGAGGTGGACTATATTTAATAAAAATTGCTATCCAGTCTTGTTCAGACTCAATTACTGATTGGATGAAGAGTGGGAAAAACATTTTCTGAGGTAAAAATAGTATTAACTCAATTGTCTCTTATTTTCACTCATCTTTGTCATACAATTAAACTTACAAGGCATTTGGAACAGCAGGAGGACATGAGCAATAATCAAAGAGAAAAGACAGAGAACAGCAAGCACATAGATAACACAGATGCAGAAATCAATAGACACTTTGAAAGAGGAACAAAACATGCACAAGAGAAGACAGAGGAAGCAAGGGCGTCCTTCCATAAATACAGCAAAAGCCTCTGAAGGGAAACAGAGAGTGAGGGAGCAAGAGAAATATCACTGATCAGAGTGAGAAAGGAGGGTGCAAAAAACTATGCAATGTTGATTGCAGGGTTCTATGAATCTGAGTAGAATAGGGAAATATCAAAATCCCCGCAAAGAAGTGAACACGTAAGAGTCTTGGAGTGTACTTTAGACCATCACAGAATGTGATGGTAACAGAGTATAACGATTGGTCATATGAGGTATGAAAAGTCACTAGAGTTTATGACAGGGTGAAAAGGGTACTTTTTTCCTGACAGTTCCAGTCTCCCGACCCCAGAGGTATTCTATTCCATACATTGACATACCTGTAGAAATACACATCATTATAGAAATAAACATCACTGTGCTGTTTACTATTGTGTGATATGTTTACATAAATGGCATTATACTCTTTTCTGCACTCATTTCTACAACACATTTTTTTTTACCATTTACAAAAAGACTTCTGAGGGTAAAACATTCCCTTATAATGTAGCTCAAAACACTGTAAGTTTAATTCAAATAAGTAAAATATTAAAATATTTACCTTGAAGTTTTCTAGTAAGTTCAAGTTTTTCCTGTTCCAGTCGCTTAATTCTTCTTTCATAAGCTTCAGTTGCTAGGTTATTATCTAGAGTCCTCTGGACATTAACATCAAGATCCAGTGAGGTGGGACCTGCTGTGACTCTTAAGCAGCTCCGGTCAGAAAGAACACTGAATCAACAAAACAAAACAAAACAAAACAAAAAGTTGGTTCATACTGCAATAAAGTTTGAAGAAAAAAAGAATTTTAAAATTCTTCATGTAAGACACAGATTTGTCTTTCTATACTATAACATCTAGAATCCTATAGAAGCACTATAATTTTTTCTAAAAATCTTTTTTGTAGAAATATTTTTAAATAAAAACTATCACCAAACTATTTTTAAATTTAAAACTCCATATATTATAAAACAAAGTTTAATAAAGGATCATTAGTAATTCAAAGCAATTTGACAAGTTTACTGAAACAGTAGTCAAAACCACCTGCATGTGTTCATTAATAGAATTTGAAATTCAAAACTTTAAAGTGAGGTGCTTTTCTGAATGCACACTAACAATATTTGAGATGATGAACATTCATCATTGAATTGCCCCTAGACAAAGAACCATAGGCAACTAACAATAGCTGAGAGGGAGAAATTAGTCTTCCTGAGAAATGAGCTACCCAGCTGTTTATCTAAAACCAGGTAGTCAGCCCTGAAATCATATACACACAACAACACTGAATGGACTCAGAAAAGTGCATGTGTGTGTGTGTGTGTGTGTGTGTGTGTGTGTGTGTGTGTATAAAACAATAATCATCAAAGAAAAAGAGGACATCAATTTGGGAGGGAGGGAAACATGAGAGGAGTTGGAGGGAGTGGACAGGGGAGGAATTGGAAGAAGGAAAGGGAGAGCATAATGATGTAATTGTATTATAATGTAAAAAGTTTTTAGATTGACAAAATTCTTTGCCAATCATTTAAATTCTAGCAACAGGGATATAAAAGAAATTACATAAAATATCCAGTACATGAGAAAGTGTTAACTGCTAAGGAGAAGACAGAAATTTAGACGGAGTAATCAGAAAAGCTGTGCTTATGCAGGTAACTAAGGAAAGTCAATGTAAGGCACCAGTCAAGGTAGTATCAGGATGAAGACCAGTCGAGGAACAGAAGCCTGAGCATCCCAAGATAAGGCTCTTGGGCCTTAAGAAGGCCTGTGTAAAAGGAACATGGCAAACAACTGGATGAGTATATAAGAGAAAATGACAGAGACAGTTGATTTATTCTTAGGATACAAACAAAAAGGAACTGTGGAGTAGAGAGAAATGACCATGCACAGGGAGAACAGGCTGGCTTATCTCTTCCAACAGGGCAATTTGATAGATGTAGGAAATATCAGGAGTTATGAACATATTACTTAGGCAGTTAAGACATGTTTTAAGTAAAAGGTAAGGAGATCTCATGTCATTAGGAAGTATATAGGGGAAGTTCCATGGCTGAGCCCTAGAACACTTGGATACTCAGAAACTGGGGAGAGGAGAGCTTGTTTGGAGACTGAGAAATGGAAACAAAGTTAAGTGTTTTCGTATGGAGCAGTGGCAAAGATAAAGTCAACTAAGACTGGGACTACAAGCAATGACTACACCTGTTAACACACGAGCCAACAGTGGTGCCAGTAAAAGCAGTTTGTATGAAGAGACTGGGCACAACCTGAAATGAGTGCATTCAAGAAAGATTAGTATAAAAAGAGAACAGTCAAGAGAAGTAATTTTGTTATACACCAGAGAAATAATTGGTATCAGGTACGAGATCCAGAAAGGCTTTATATTTTAAGATGGAAGAAATAATTACATGTGTGGTAAGATGGTTGGCAGGATGTAAAGATGTGGGTGGCACATAAAGGAGAAAAATGTATGACATGAAAGTGAACAATACATTAAGCCAAGCAGGAGGAAAAGGCAGGAGCCAGCCCTAGCCAAGCATCTACATGGTCCATCCTTGGAAGGAAGAGCTTGTGAGTCTAGGGGACAAATAGAAAACAGTGGCAGGAACTTGCAGTTGCCTGAAGTTGGTAGCAGTTATCAAGGATGGAGGAAGCAAGATCATCAGCTGAGAATAAGGGTGACCAATATTTGCAAGAATGGAGCATAAAATGGTTACCTTGGTATGTACAGGGCAGAACAAACTAAGGTGATTCAGTGTCTGTCACATAGGATAGAGTACTTAGACTGGTAACCCTCAATGTAAAGTTAGCTTGGTTGTTAAGAACCATCTGTCTGCTCCAGCCACTTTGAACTGCTTACATTTGAAATAAAGAACATTCTCTCAACAAAAAAAAAAAGTACAGCAGCTGAGAGATAACTAAAGGGACTGCCATGCACCCAGGAAATGATTACTGAAATTCTTATGGGACATGGAAGGGAGGAATAGGAGGACAGCAACGGGGTTAGGAGTAAAGAGTGGTATGAACAATGGGTTGGAAATTTTGGTGCTTGACATATACCAAATATTCATTAAGTGTCTTGGTGCTGGTTCTTGCCCTCTTCCCAATGGGTTCAACTCTTGTGCTACTTGTCCTCATCATTTCCTCCAAACAGTTGGTTCTTGAGTAGTTTTACACATTTAAATCCAGCTCCAATACACCATTAACTACAAATACATATATATACCATTTTCAAACTTCAATTTACTTTTTTATAAATTACCCACATTATCTTAATTTTTGAAACTTACCAGCTACTAGTATATGTAAAACCAACAAATGGTAGATGATGGCCAGAAAATGCAGTATGTGTTGGTGGAGGCATTGTTTCCTAAGAGAAAATAAAAATATCAATTTGGTGAGACATCTACAGTTATTACTGATAGGTTGGACTATAACTGTCAATGAGGATATGCAACCATTCAATTTAGAGAGAGTGGTAAATTTGGGAAAGTGTTCAGTGATATAAAATATAGACTATAAGCACTACTACTGGAAAACTCAAGCAAATAAAAGTTAAAAGCCTAACAAAAAATTATAGTCATTATTCATGCATTCTACATCTGAAAATCTGTCTAGCTTTTTTTTTTTCTTTCAGAGAAAAGGCTTCACTGGGTAGCACACACTGGCCTCAAACTCGTGATTTTTCTATGTCTGCTTCCCAAGGAGTGAAATTATAGGCCTGTTTCATCACACACAGTTTAAAACAAAAATTTATTTGCAAGTGGAAAATCAGTATCCTCAGGGCTTATGTGGTCACTAAGTACGTGTGGAGAAGAGAGGATGTGTGCTGTCCTTTGCTCCTCCTGCAGAGACTAAGTGTGGACTGCTCCTATTTTCTCACACTGAAGCAAATGTCCTTGGCATACTCTATAAACATTTTTATGCTTTTATGATAGTATCTCTGTTTAAAATACCTCCCAGAAGTGCTGTCTGATAACTGCTTTTGTTTTTCTTAAAATTTCAATACAAAGTCTTGCTGTATGGCCCAAGCTAAGCCTGAACTCATCCAATCCCATCAGAGTACTAGCATTATAGGTGTGTACCACACTGGCTGCCATCTCATGTCACAACGTAAAAAGTAATCACGTGCCTTTATAGAGAAACAACATGTGTTAGATAAACTGTTTTAGGAGTAAGTTATAATGCTGTTAGATATGAGTTCTGTGTTACTGAATCAATGGTGTATATTACTATATAACTTTTGATACAGTACATCTAGAAAGCTTTTATATTCAAAGTTGTTGAAAATGTGACCTATGTTAACATAAGTTTAACTTTATGTTTCTTTAATTTTTGGTTATTATAATATAATTACATTTCTTCCTTCCCTTTCCTGTCCTAATCCCTCTCATATACCCGCTCCCTACTCTCCTTCAAATTCATTAATCTTTTATTTATACAGAGCAATGGTCAACGTCAACTAACTGGGTGCTCACCATAACTTTATAAAATACAACCAGTGTGAATAATCAACTCCATATACACTTAACTTGGAAAGACTCAGAATTTCTGTCAACAGTGAATATAATTAAAAAACTGGGAGGAAAATACATCTATTTCTTCTTGTGTAGTTTAAACAGTTTAACAGCAAACATTCATCTTAAACATAGTAATTAACAGTAAAAAGTGACATAAAATTAATATAAAATTTAGTACTGAACTAAAACCAGACATAAAATTACTGAATAAATTGGCAGCTTAAGATAAGAAGTCTAGAAAAGAAACCCAAAATTTTAGGTTCTTATTTTCTTACATTTGAATCTATATAACCTAGTGATTCAGAGCAAGATCAACACAATATGATAGCCTTCCTACAGTCCATGAGCTGAGAGGAGAAAACTATTTGGCTCAGGCAGAGACACAAACTCGGGTAAGGAAGGTATGTCAGACTGACTTTCCACATTTATTTCCTACCCAGCTGGCTATTTTAGTGGCAACAATATGGGTGTTGGGTTTGAGACTTCCAAATAAAGTTTGCCCTCCTGGCAGTAAAGTGTCAGCTTTTTGTTCAATATGTAAGTACAACCAAACAGGTGATGGGGTAAAAGGTAGGTGCTGTGGGATAATGCTCTTGTATACTGTAAAGATTTGTCACTTGTATTGGTTTAATAAAAAGATGACTTGCCAGTGGCCAGGCAGGGAGTATTTGTGGGGCAACAAGACTAAGAGAATTCTGGGAAGAGGAAAGACAGAGAATTAGTCTCCAGCCAGACGCAGGGAAAGCAAGATGAAAATGCCTTACTGAAAAAAGATATCAAGTCACATGGCTAAACATAGACAAGAATTATGGGTTAATTTAAGTTGGAGTAGCTAGTTAGTAATAAGCATGAGCTAACAGACCAAACAGTTTATAATTAATATAAGACTCTGTTTATTTGGGACTGAATGGCTGCAGGACAGAAATTTCTGTCTACAAGGAGGGGGTGGAGCATGTATGGTTTCAAATAAAGCTCAGTAGTTTTTGATGAATAAATACTTCTTTATTTCCTTTTGGTTATAGTAAGCCCTTACATGTGTTGCTATTTGTTTCCAGTTTCACGGTTGGTTTTAGCGAGGGGTTTGTCATCTTCTTCACTTTGAAATCATGAAATACACTTTTTAAGGTGTCTAATCTTGCATTTTTAGTAAACATATGACACAGTTTGCTAAACAACAGGTCTCTGAATTTTGCTTTTGGTCATGGTAACTACATTTAATTTATTTAAGTCTCTTAATTTTTTTGATACACGACAGAATAAGCATTGGAACTTACAACTACTGTGTGATTGATAAGAGAAAAATAGTCCTGGCACCAAATTAATAAATAAAATGTTACTTTATAACCATCCTTAAAAGAACAAGAAGGACAGGACATCTTCATAATGTCATACTTACAGAATTTTTTAAACAGTCATCATCCACATCAAAATTTGATGTATCTGTTGGGCTACTGACTTCTGGAATATAAGGTGCTTCACAGTTTCGAATATTATCCCAATCAATTCCACTGAAAAATGGATGTTTCTTAAAGTCTTCTATTCCATTTTGGCCAAGTCGATGTTCTCTGCTACAAATAAGTCTTCGAATAAGATCCTTTGCATTTTCAGACACATCAGTCACTTGGGGTGGAAACTGAAACCTCTCCTATACGGACAACAATATAAGATATAAATACAAATCAGCAGTTTTCTTACAAAATGGTGGTAAACTTGTTTAAATCTATTTCCGTTGGAAAAACAACTAGAGTTTGATGACACAAAGCACTGATACTGTGGGGAGACACAGGGATGATGAGAAATAAATCCCTTTCCTAAAAGAATTTTTAATTCCTTAAGTGACTTCATGATGATTGAACTACAAAAAGAGGTCAGATGCCATAGGATCTTAAACTGATGTTAAAATGAGATGGGTGAGAATAAAAAGCAGCAGAATTTAATTCAATAGTTCAATAGAATGTAGGTTACTGATAATGTTCAGGAACAATATAAAATATCAGTTAATCATTAAACACTTAAAATGTTTATATGTATTGGTGTTTGACCTGCATGTCATTGTGAGGGAGTCAGATCCACTGAAACTTGAGTTACAGGCAGCTATGAGCTACCATGTGGGTACTGGGAATTGAATCTGGGTCCTCTAGAGGAGAAGCCAAAGCTCTTAACCACTGAGTCATCTCTCTGGTTCAAAACACTTAAAATTTTACCATGTATCTGGCACTATTCAAAGTGATTTACTTATTTAACAATTTAATCCTCAGAATAATTACACTGGGTAGGAACTACTAGGATGACAGTCTTGTAAAAGAGGAAGCTAAGATACAGTTTTCTCAACGTCATCCAACTAATAATTGACAGGAAAGGGTCTTGCCCTTAACTCTCTCCTGACCAGTGCTGTTAAGCAGCATGCTACACTGCAACACCTTCCTTGTGGATGGTGCACGTGCACTGACAACCTTCAACTTCTCCTGTCTTTCAGTTCTTCACCACTACTTACTGTTCCATGCTAGCAGCTCGGTGGAAGACACAAAGTCTATAAAATTGATTTGTATGCGTAAAGCACCAGAACCAACTAAAAAGGACAGATTATCTATTCTTCTGGGGGACATTCAGATTCACACTGAGCACTTCTGCATCTGTTCACAACCTTCTGAAGTTGGACAGTTTATTCTTCTGCATGTCTATTTTGTTTCACATGGTGCTGCATGACTGGAGTTTATCTGGACTGCAGTCAGTGTCTTGTGCTCACTAACACTGGAGCAGACATTCTACATACACACCTTTGTTATAGATATTTCCACCAGGTAAATGTCTAGACCCAACCTTTGCTCTATCAAAAGCTCTAATTTTAAGGCTCAAGATGTATACCTGCTAACTTTGGGACAGAAAGTTACAATTTGTAGCCCTGTCAGAATCTGAGGAGTACCTATGATGCTGCATGAGAGTACAGAATACAATTTTGCATGTTGTCTTTGCCAGTCTGACAGAAGAATTTCAGTAAAACTGTGATTGTTCTGTGTGTCTGTCCATGGTTGGGTGTGCATGTGTACATAAGTGCAAAGTTGTCCATGTGAAGGCCAGAGGACAACTTTGTAGAGTCATTTCTCTCCTTCCATCTTTTCATGCATTTCAGGAATTGAACTCAGGTCTCCAGGTTTGCAAGCAAGCACCATAGCCACGGAGTCATCTTGCTGGCTCCAAAGGAGTTCAATTTTTATCTTTATTCACACTTAATTTATTACTAATAATGCTTATAATTTTTACATGCATACTTGTCATAATTGTATGTACTATATAGTAAAAACTAATAAAAAAACTTACTACTTTTTACTTCTCTTACTCAACTATAGAGACTGATTTTTCTATTTAGGAGCATTTCTAAACAACATGCATGGGAAACTTAAAACTAATTATTTTACAGATATTGATTACTAACAATTTTCCTTACTAAGCAAAGGAATATGACTTTTCATTGTTTTGAAAAGAGTACTTTCACTTTAATATCACATTACTTCAACTTAATGAATGTATTTATTGTGAAAACTAATAATATACTAACTTTGTGATTCATGATTTTTCCATATGTCTCCACCAGAGATTCAGCGTAGAAAGGTGTTTCTCCATAAAGCATCTCATACATACAGACCCCCAGAGACCACCAGTCACACTCAGGTCCATATCTGCCTTTTCCATCCTCCATAGCTTGAAGGATTTCAGGAGAAATATAATCTGGAGTTCCAACTGCCACTGAAGACTGGACCTGAAGAAGATCATATTTGTATCACTATAATGTATTAGACAAATGATTTTAAATTAAAAACAGTTACTTAAGATATACAACAAACAGTATTATAACATTTTTGTTATCTGAATTTAGCCTCCTAGTCTGTAGAATGATTTTAAATGGCCTCTACATTAATAGTTTTCATTACTCATAACTTTACAAGACCTTTACTATAGCTGAATGTATTTAGGGGAAAAATGTGATTTGAGTCATTACAGTCATGAACAATAAAACGAATCACAACATTATTACTGTTTAATTTTGGTTTGGTTGTCTGAGACAAGGTCTTGCTATATATCTGAGGTTAGCCTCAAACTCAACAGTCCTCCTGCCTCAACTTCCCAAGTTCTAGGATTATAGTATGCTACTAAGTTTTCTTACTGGTTTTAAATATTTATTTATGCAATCAACAGATATGTATACATATACACACACACACACATATATATATATATATATGTGTGTGTGTATATATATATATATACATACATACACTGGAACTGAAAATTTACAATTAGATATGAAGAGAACAATTCATTAAGCTTAACAATGATGATAATTTTAAAATCCTAAACAGAAACCTAAGAAAACTAAAGGTTGATTAGTTATTGTACATTAAGTTCTTAGTAGCACTGGACATGATGGTACACACCTTAAATACTAGCACTGAGATGGCTCTCTGTGTGTTTGTGGCCAGTCTGTCTGTAAGTTCCAGGCTAGACAAGGATATTACAATAGACTTTGTCTCAAAAATAAAACCAAACAAAAAAAACCTTATCTGGAAAAATTATAAAAGGGAAGGAAAGTAGAGACTTTAAAACCAAAATTCTTAATTTTAAAAAGTTTAAAATCTAATTACAGCAAGTTAGATAGATGAAAATTAAATAAATGATCATTTTATGTTTAGTATCTGGAAGAACTAGCTATACTAGTTAACACTAACAGTGCCCAGGGCTCTCAATCATCCACACCCTAGATAACACTTGCTGTTTTCTGGTTTGGCAGCAGCTATGCCACTGGACAGAAGATGCTATTATGGTGGGATCACAGGCTTTCTGACTTATTTCTCTAATGACAGATTTTATGGAGCATCTTTTCATATGCTTATTCCTCATCTGTAAATTTTCTTTGGGAAAATTCTCTTATTCTTCACTGAGGCTGTTTTTCTATTGTTGAGCTTGGGTACAAAATGCTCCTGGAGAAAAATTCACCTTACACTGAGCCCTCCCACAAGAGTGATTAACTTCAGTGCCTGAGGGGAAGTTAGAATGCCGCAGGCCAGAACTTAATTAGAATCTGTAGCTGTCCTTACATATTCTAAGCACACAACCAGGTAAGTGAGTTGCAGATACTGCTTGGCTCTGTACGCTGTCTTTTCCTTCTGTCCACTGTGCCATTTGATGCACACAGGTTTTTGAGGGTGCACTTTGGTGTGGAGGGGTTGTGAGTCTGTGTTATTCTCAAGAAATTTCCCAAATGCAATCATAAATATTGTCCCTTATATTTTCTTACAGGGTTTTAGTTTTTACAAAGTTCTCTGAACTATTTTGAATTAATTTCTATGGTATAAACTAAAGTAAGTTGATTGTTTTGATTGGGAATGTAATGGAAAATGACTAATTCTTTACTGAAGTGAGCTATCAATGTTTTTAAAATGCTAAAGAGAGGCATTAAAATATTTAAACCAGCCAGGTAGAGTAGCACAGGTCTTTAATGCCAGCACTTGGGAGACACAGGCAAGGGGATCTCTGTGAGTTCAAGACCATTCTGGTTTACATAGTGAGTTCCAGGACAGTCAGAGCTACACAGTGATATCCTGTCTCAAAAAATAAAATAAAATAAAATAAGAGATGTTACCTTCCAAGGATAAAGAGAGTAAGAAAGATAAAATCAACTGGACAGAAGGTATCAGGAAAGAAAAAAAGGAAAACAAAGCACTCATTAAAATAACAAACAAAGGCTACAGAAATAGCACAAAGCTCTACACTAAGTCACAAGATCCAAGAGTGGATTAAAGCATCTGTCAAAGGACAGAGAGTTAACTTTGAAAAACAAATAACCAAATGCATAAACGAGAGAAAAAGCAGTCAAATAATTTAAGTAAGATAAACAAAATAGAAGCACATAAATTGAAAGTGGTGAGATAAAAGATGAACTAGATACATTAAACAGTAGAAATTTAAAGCAGTAATAAAAGTATTAGCCAAATTAAAATTATTTAGTTCATTAATATAATTACAAAAGAAACTATCCTGCAAAATTTAGTGATTTGAAATAATACATTACAAAGGAGATGTATAAAATGCTGATAATTATGAAGGAAAAATGAACAAATCTACTACTGTCATAAGGATTTTAAAATAACGGATAATAGAGAAAACCCATAAGAATATAAAACATGAATACAAAACCAGTTCAATATTATGGACATGTAAATAACCTTTACTTTTAGTAAAGTTGGATAAAACGTATTCTTTTCAAGCAAATATGGAATACACAAAAAGTTGTCTGTTACAAAATTATAAAGTAGATTTCAACAAATGAAAAAAACACAAGCCATAAAATAAAATAGGTCTATTTTCTGACAAAGTAAAACTAGAAGTTTTCACCAAAGAAGTATATCACCAAATTAACTATAGGATACTACAAATAAACAGTAAAAGGTTATCTCAGCTAGGCCTGGTGGCACAGGGTAGGTAATTCCAGCTACTCAGGAGGCTGAGGATGAAGAATCACAAGTTCTAAGCTAGCCTGGGTAGCTCAGTTAAGACCTCAGAAGTGCAGTGCTTGCTTGGTTATGCAAGAGGCTCTGGTTTGAGGATTAATACCTATTACTCTGTCTCACCAAAGGCATATTAACTCAACAAAATACAGGAACAGCATAAAACCAGACTTTTAAACATTAAAAAATTTGAATGAAAATCAATCAGCATAAGACTACCTGTAACCCAAAGAGAAGAAAGCAGTTCTAAACTGCATAAGAAATAAGTAAAAGCTGTACTTACTACACAATGGTTCAAGATCCAAAATGAGTAAAGGTGGGGCACAGGTATGCTGTTGGTTATGTAAGGCCCTCATTTGGCAGAACCATTTTCAAGCTCTGGTTGGCTTTATCAGGGCTTGGTTTTAGACTGAAACATTCCAGTAGATACAAAATATTACAGTTAATGGTCCAAACTCATGGGGCTGGTTTGCCTCCTCCAGCACAGCTTGACTTTCTGGTCTGCTATTCCGTGTCCCTGTGGGTATCACTCATCTATGAATCTACAGTGCAATGTGCGGGTAGTTTAGCCTTTATGATTAGTTTGGGGAACTTAGGTCTGCCTTTACACAGGGCCAGTATCAACTCTTTCAGATCCCAGCACCTAAAGTGACTCAATTGTGGTGCCTTCACCCAAGATCTGAAAAAACGTTATGCTATGCTCTAACTCTGGCCATGTCAGAAGAGTCAGGAGTGCTGGGAAGTCAGGAGTCTGGCACATCTCAAGAGTTTCTTTCTGTTAGGAATAACTATAACATGCCAACGCTAGCCACTGTCTGAAAAAGCTGTTTTAAATAACATGTTTAGTAACATAGTCATTTATAGTAAGAAAGGTAAGTCAGTACCAATTATTCCTTTCAACATGGGCAAATTCATAAATCATATAATGCATTTTCAAAATCACCTAAAGATAATTTTTTAGAGTCAAATAACTAGTCAAGAATAATGATGACACATAACACGGCTCTGGAATTTATCATACTAAAATGTTTTCCAAAAAAACCTGCTAATTAAATTAATATACATGTGGGCCTCTGGAATAGACAAGAAAATTAAAGAAATTTTTAAGCAATGTGGTTGAGAAAATAGTTTAGTGGGTAGAGCACTTGCCATGCAATTGTAAAGACCTAGTTTGACTCTCCACCCATGAGTGGTGGCTTGAAAAAAAAGATGCCCCCCAAAAGGAGAAGCACTATTAGGAGGTGTGGCCTTACTGGAAGAAGTATGACACTGTGGAGGTGGTCTGTGAGATCCAGGGAGAGACACTTCCTCCAGCCTGCAAGTCAAGTTTGCAGGGCACTTGGCTGCTTCTCCAGTGCCATTATTACCATCATGCTGCGCCATGATGATAACGGACTAAACCTCAGAAACGTTAAGTGACCACAATTAAATGTTTTTTCCTTTATAAAAGTTACCATGGTCATGGTGTCTCTTCACAGCGACAGAAACCCTACGACACCACGCAAAGTCATATATGATACAGTATATCTATAATCCCATTCTTCTGCAATATGGGAGGCAGAGACAGGAAAACTCCCAGAAGCTATAGACCAGTCAACTTGATATACACAGGGGTGGACAAGAGACTGTTTTAAACAAGGTGGGAAATGAGGACCTAGTTGTTCCTCATACACCCATATTACATACCCCAAAATAAGCACACACACACATACACATGTACACACACAAAAAGTAACAAAATCTGAAAATATACACTTTAATTGAACAAGAACTTAATGATTTCATCAGTAAAAGTCAAGCAAATGGGAACACAAAACTAATGCTACCTAGTCTTCACTCAAAAAGAAAATTCATTTGCTGAAGAACACTATCCCTCAGAACAACTACACCATTAGAAAAAAGTACAAATGAAGATGGAGTTGTATTTTATTTTCTATATGAAACTTACAATCTTTATTACTCTAAAACCTTAGGAAAGTTTCAAGTATAATAGGTATTAGCTAAAAAAGAAACCACAAGGCTCTCAAAGCACCATTCTCAAGCTCACTTTTACAAGCAGGTTAAGAGGACTCTGAGCAAGTATGACCAATGCTTTGTGAAAGAAGGTGGAGCAAAGACAAATGGATGACTGCTGGCAGACAGTGTAAGCACAGCGTCTCTAGAATAGAGAAGACATGCCAAGGAAAATGTCTATGGATAGAATAACTCATATTTATTTACCGTTCCATCTTCCATCAGCTTCAGACAAGAACCAAAATCTGCTAAACGAATATGTCCATTCATATCCATCAATATATTGTCAGGTTTAATGTCTCTGAAAAAACAAATAAATTCACGCTTTAGTTGAAAATAATCGGAAGCCTTTTTACATGAAAAATCTTCAACTGCTTTAAAAAATACTTTAAGAAAAATATCTTTCAGTTTATTTATATGATAAATTACATTGATAGATTTTGTTCATGTTGAACCAGTCCTGTATCTCTGGGATAAAACCTACTTGATCATAATGGATGATTTTTTTTTAATGTGTTCTTGGATTAGGTTTGCCAGTATTTTATTGAGAATTTTGCATCGATGTTCATGAGTGAGATTGGTCTGTAATTCTTTTTCTTGGTTGAGTGTTTGTGTGGTTTTGGTATCAGGGTAACTGTAGCTTCATAAAAAGAGTTTGGCAATGACTCTTCTGTTTCTATTATGTGGAACACATTGAGGAGTATAGGTATTAGCTCTTCTTGGAAGTTCTGGTAGAATTCTGCATTAAAACCATTCTCCCTGAGCTTTTCTTGGTTGAGAGGTTTTTGATGACAGCTTCTATTTCCTCACAACTTAAAGGTCTATTTAAATTGCTCACCTGGTCTTCATGAATCTTGCATATATTAACTTAAAAGGTAAAAAAGTGAATTTAGGAAGCATAGTTTTTATGTTTAAATTATATGAGAAAAATGGCAGACAATTATGTTAAAACAAAATTAAAATATTGAAAATTGTTTAAAAAAATATCTGTTTTACAGGTTCCATCCTAGCTGTGATTCATATTAACACTTTCCAAATCTCTATCATTTCCAAAATTCCTGGAAATAAAAAGTACTCTGGTAATTTTCATTCTGGAAAGGATACTTTTGGAGATGAAAGCATCACTGATATATTAAAATTTTCAACTGCCCCAATGCTTTGAAAATACTGACACATTCCTTTCGATCATAACCTCCTAACAAATTATTTTCACATTTCTCAGTATACCTTGTTTCTATTTTCCTCTAGTCTTTGATTCTGTTAGTTACTCCTTCACTTAAGAAACAATTCTGAGAAGAAAGAGCAAATAAGACTGAGCATCTTGATATAAGGCTCTAAAATAAGTGGCTTCCAATAAAACCATGACTTTCTTCAGGGGGAAAAAGGATGTGATGCCAATGAGAACTAGGTCCAGGTCTGCTGCCAGGGACATCAGGTCTACATCAAGAATTTTGTGCGCTAATTATTCTTTTAAAAAAAATTAAGCCACAAATTCCAGTTTTCCTACTTAATGTAATTTTTAGCCATAGAGTACTAGGCCATCTGACAAGATGATGGAAACTAAATATGAAGGGAAAAGAAGAAACAACAGTTGGTGCCATTACACCTGGGAAGTTCCATAAGCCTCCTCGGCTCTAAGACAGCATCACGGAAGCACAACTGCTGCACGTGTTGTTAAGGGACCGAACCACAAACTTGAGTATTCCTGTCTCTACAACACTCCACCAAAGGGGTTCATAAAGATGTCTAACTGATTTTTTAAAATTCACATTAGGGGCTGAATTTGTGGCTCAGTAGTATAGCATTTGTCTTCCAGACATGATACATTATTTGGTTTACAAGAATACTTGAAATGTGATTATCTAATACTTGGTACATGTGGAAAGAAGGAAAATAGGATAAATGTATTAGCAAAAAATGTAAAAACTAGTGACAGTTATACAACTAGACTATTTTTTTTAGCTCACAGTTTTCTAGATTCCAACCCCAGCACTCAAAATAACTACACACACACACACACACACACACACACACACACACACAAATGAGTGAATTAATTCAGTGTTTTGGTCTCAAGCTATGGATCAGCAGTAGAAATCCCTGAAACAGAAAAATATCAGGCAACTAGATTCTATTTCAAAACCTCTCAACTAATCAACAAAATACAAAAGCTCCAAAATGATCAGAATAACTTCATATTTTAATACCAAATTAATAAATAATTTTCCTTTATTAAATATATGCTAGGAGCAGACTGACTAAAATGCAAGGGGAAGAATGAAGGATGAGATTAAAACCACCACAAGTGACTAAATAAAACATTCCATATTCCACAAGAATAACAGTGGTAATACTACATATTACATACAAATAGAAAACAGAAATCTCTTCCCCTCTCATCCCTGCATCCCCTTGTCTCTACCATTAAAAGTTAAGACACATTTTTCCCTATGTCCCCCCCACATTACTAAAAATAGAAAAAATAAGGCTACAATAATTAACAGGCAAAAACTCAAAAGTGATTGTGAGAAAAGACAGAACAAGATGAAAGAAAGACCTTGGAACATTCAGCCCTAAATGGGATATCTCCATCAATCCCTCTTTTCAGGATTCAGGGAACCTGGCAGAAGAGGAGGCAGAAAAAGTGTAAGAGCCAGAGGGGATGAAGGATACTGGGAAAACAAGCCCCTGTAAATCAGTGGTTCTCAAGCTGTGGGGCATGACCTTTGAGGGGGGGTGTCAAATGACCCTGTCACAGGGATCACCTAAGACCACTGGAAAACACAGATATTTACATTATAATTCATAATCGTAGCAAAATTACAGTTAAGAAGTAGCAACAAAATAATTTCATGGTTGGGGATCAGCACAACATGAGGTGTGCATTAGGAAGGTTGAGAACCACTGCTCTAAACCAACATTATCAAAGCTCATATGAAATCACAGGGATTGAGGCAGCATGCACAAGGCTTGAACCAGGTCCTTTGGTTACATACTAAGACTTCCAATTTAGTGTTTTTATCAGATTCCTTAATGTGTAAACAAATGTATCTGTTTCTTGTGTCTTTTCCCGAGCTTTTTTTCTTACTCTTTATTTTGTCCAATTCCAAAGTGTTAGTTTTTGTTTAGCCTTATTGCAATTTATTTTATTGTCATCCCTTTAAAAGACTGTTTTCTAAAGAGAAACAGAGAGTGGATGCAGATAGGGAGAAACTAGGAGGAATAGAGGAAAGAGAAACCATAATCAGGATATATAATATAGTAATATAGAGAAAAACATTAAATACAGTTGTATATAAAGTTGAAGAAAGTGAGTAAACCAGCATAATGCATCATATGATTTATGTAAATACTTAAAATGTGATTATATAGTACTTGATGCATATTAATGGAAGGAAAATAAATCAAAGTATTAGCAAAGAAATGTGAAAATTAAAGGCAGTTACACAAACACAGTATTTCTGGCTCAGCAATAAAGAACATTTACAAAGTCTTAAGAAGCATGAAGTGGCAGATCAGTGAGAGCAGGCCTGAGGAAAAGTAGTGCTATATTAAGAGCCAATCCTCAGCCAGCTTAGCAGAGACCCCAGGAGTCCTTATAAACTGTTTTAAAATGTCTGAAATTAGATGTCATGATACCAGATGCATGGGAATAAACAGTAGAAAAACAAAGCTTTAAAGAAACTAGATATGGCTGTCACCACAGAGCAAGCTTAAGAAAAAGGAGCTACTTTTCTTTCTTTTTGACAGTAGTAGTTACTTTATTACAAGAACAATAAAATAATAAGAACTTCCACTGAGTTATGTCCTCTGCAAATGTTAGGATACAGTGGATGGTTTTCTAGGTAGTCTATGGGTTAATATGGGGAAACTGAATCCTAAAGATTTGTGGTTATTTAATGTCTCAGCTCCTCATCTTCATCCTTTCCTCACTTCTAGGACTTTCTGTCCTACAACTGTCTTCCTTAAGTTACAGCTTCTCCTTTTGCTTGCTTTGGTTTGCTTCTGTATATTCTTCTGCTTTTATAGCCTAGGCTAGCTCAGCATTGCAAATCCTCCTGCTTCAGCCTCTATACAATGCTGGGATTATAGAACTATACAACATGTTGTTTTACTTTTTCAATAGAGTCTTACTTTATAGTCTTGTCTAGCATGATACTTACTACATAGATCAGACAGCCCTTAAACTAATGGCAATCTTGCCTCAGCATTATGTGTGCTAGAATCACAGGTAGGAACCATTAAAGAGGAACCTAAGAGAGACATACACAGATCCACCTAAGAAGGGGGAAAAAAGGACAAGATTTCCTGAGTAAATTGGGAGCGTGAAGGATGGGTGAAGAGTGGAAGGGAAGGAAGGAGGGGGAGTAGTGAAAATGTATAGCACATTCCTATCCAAACAATTAGAATGAGGATTTTAAAAATTGACATGTGAGGAGCTACTTTTAAATATAATCATTTTTACTCAGTATTTGTACATATTTATGGAATATGGTGAGATATTTTTATTCACACACACACACACACACACACACACACCCCTCAGAGTAGCAGATAGCTTCTTCCCAATCCTCATCTCTTTCTTGGAACAGCCAATATGTACTGAATAGCTGATGTGGAAAGACAAAGATCCAACAATTTTGACCAAGTTAACAACTACTCAGAAGGCCACAAACCCTCAGAACTGCAAGCACTGCTGACTGAAGCTTTCGTTTACAATTGTCTGGTTTCTTTTTTCACCCAATTCTGGTCCTCTGCCTCCCTTCCGTGGGTGCTAATTCCTAATGAACACTCTTATAACACATATGGACTCAGTGTCTGCTCCTGGAGAATACAATAACTGGTAAGTGCAGAGGACAAATCACATTATCTGTTGTTAAGAAGCAAAAACAACATCTGGCATTCAGATCAACCCTGAGCCAGTGACAGCTTGCAATAACAGGGCAGCTGGCCAACCAGCTCCCAAGCACTGCCAACAAGAGAGGGAAAGGTAAGCTAAAGCGAGACATCAGTCACAACCTGTACAACCAATGAAAAGTAAGACAAGTGCTTAGGAAAGATGACACTTCCCCCTTAGCCTCACAAATGCATTATTCCAGTTTCTCTCATCTAAATATGAATCTAATCAGTCATCTACAAGGTTTCTAAAATCATTAACTTTCCTTATTAGTGAAAACCAAATAATATTGGGCTTAAAAGAATAGTATCATGGCTAAGGACAATCCAGCCCAATGTGCCAGGCTTAACTATCTCAGAAGAGCATTATTTTAAAACAACAGAATTAGTACTATAACAGGTATA